ACCTTTATACCTTTATTACGAAAAGTAAACAAAACAGATAAGATTGGATAATAAATCTATGCAAAATATTTTTAAGGAAAAACTACTGATTATAAATTAATAAGCCGGTGAAAAAAAATCGCTGATTTGATACTATAGTGTGTATTAAAAGATAATGGAAAGTTTACCGACAGACGACGAAAAGGTCACTGAAAGACGACGGAAAGGACACTGAAAGTTGACGGAAAGGTCACTGAAATATAACTGAAATGTGTACGCTGAATGGTGACTGAAAGGTACCTGAATTATGACTGAAAGGCAACTGAAAAGTCACGGCAATATACCTGCCATTCAGTGGCTGAATGTCAACTGAAAAGTCACTGAAAGCCGCCTTTCAGTTTTAACTGAAAGGTCTCGTTTCTTCTTGTGTCTATCAGTTATGCATAACTATCCAGCTATGAGAAAGCAGTAGATCAGGCAGGGAATAATAGCGTTCCTGCTTCTTAATAAGGAAGAGTTTTATTCATAACAAATCATTCTATAGTAAACTATATTTATCTATGATTTACTATAGTAAACTATAGTCAACAAAAGGTCCAAAGTTTCCAGTATAGTAAATCAAAGTTCCAAAGTTTTCATTATAGTGAATCAAAATTCCACAATGTATCTATAGTTAATCAAAGTTCCAAAGTTTTCACTAAGTAAATCAAAATTTTTAAGCTTTTACTTACGTAAATCAAAGATCCAAAGTGTTTTACTCAAGTGATTCAAAGTTCCAATGCTTTACAATATCTAAATTGATAGACAAACACGTAGCTACATGTAAGCGAAAACAAAACTTGTCAAACTTCACTTACAAAACTAAAAGAAAGTTGGCTTAATGCAATGAATTGTGGTGAACTAATCGGTATTACGTTTATAGATTTTAGTAAAGCATTTGATTTGGTGAAATATGATATTCTTCTAGAAAAATTAATCCATTACAAATTGACCAAAATGCTATGAAGTGGTTCAAATCATATCTTTACGATATGACCCAGTGTGTTAAATTTGTATCATGTGTCTCCTATATTCTATCTGTCACAGCAGGAGTGCCACAAGGGTATATTTTGGGTCCACTTTTATTTTTATTGTACATAAATGACCTTCCATTATATGTAAACAATTCAAATATTGATATGTTGTTGATGTAACTCTGCATACTAATAATGATACCGCAAGATGTTTAGAAAATACACTAAATTCAGATCTTTATGAGATTGAGAAATGGTGTGCTAAACATCAAATGGTTTTAAATGTAGATAAAACAAAACGTACGTTATAAATTAATGGGAACACAGCAAAGAAATTCAAAATTAGATAATCCAAATTTACAACTTTATGCCTCAAACAAAACAATTGAAATAGTTGAATCTTAAAAAAATTCTTGGTGTATATATTGATGATAAGTTGCAGTATGCAATTTATATTGATTCGGTTTGTAAAACGGTAAATTAATTACTCTTCTAAGGATTAAGAAACTTCTCACTCTACATACCAGAAAACTTTATTTCAATGCTTATAATTTACTATTAACTTTTGTTTGACTGTCTGGGGTAATGCCCCCAAACAGGATATGGACAGACTTTTTACTTTCTCATTCTTCTTCTAAACCATTGTTTGAGAAATTTGGATGGTTAACAGTTTATGTTCTAGCTGATCTATACAAATACATGTTTTTATACAAAATTTTCAGTGGAACAACTACCCAGTATCTTTGTATTTTAATTTCATTCTTCCAATTAGTATAACCTTCGATCTGAAAGTAATTATGATCTACTATTGCCGAAATCTCGTACAAACTTATTCAAGACCTCTTTTCAGTATTCAGTGTACATCTATGAAATAAACTTCCCCAACACATTAGACTCTCTCAATCCCATCGAACATTTAAGCGCAATGCAGAAAATTACATCATTAGCTGTCGCACAATTATTTGAGCATAATAAAATATTGTACAATGTATTTTGATTGTTAATTTTCTGTACATGGACACTTCATTCATAAACTTGTGATTGTAATTCCTTAAACCTATTACTATACATATATATATATATATATCAAAGATGAGCTTTTAATACCTTAGCTTGGAATGATACTGCGCAAATAGATAATATGGCGGAAGATAAAGTATTTTTAGATTACAGACTTAAAAAACACACAAACGCGTCCACCTATGAGTCACGTTTAAAAACGAAAGAAGATCAATAGACATTTAATCTCATTAAAAACATCTAAAATTGAACATGAAAAATACACTTGAAAATGAAATTAATTATTTCTTTTTTTTTTTTTTTTTTTTTTTTTGCTTTTTAATGCATGATTTTATTCACAAAAATAGTAAATGGAATGCACAACAGGCAGTCTTTTAGCCCTCTACCTGATGAGGGCTACTAAGCTCGCCTTTTTATATATATAGTGCAGTCTCCAGTACTTGTGAACATTGATCCCAACCACAGTCATGGACTACAGCCCCGGAGGCTTGGGAGGTTTAAGGACAGTATTGGACTTGATTGAGATTGTCGTATGGATGGAGCCCCGTGGGGATCCGGGTTAGAATAGATCCTCAGTACCCCTGCTTGTCGTACAAGGCGACTAAATGGGGCGGTCCTTCGGATGAGACCGTATAAACCGAGGCCCGTGTCACAGCAGGTGTGGCACGATAAAGATCCCTCCCTGCTCAAAGGCCGTAAGTGCCGAGCATAGGCCTGAATTTGCAGCCCTTCACCGGCAATGGTGACCTCTCCATATCAGTGAAATATTCTGGAGAGGGACGTTAAACAGTATATAATCAATCAATCAATCGTATGGATGGACAATACTAGTTATGATTGAAATGGAGTTCTAAATTGGTTTGAATTATTGAGAATTACACGTGTTGATATTTGATACAGCTGTTTAAACATCTTTTGATCATTTATATTTTTTTTATCATTGTAAATAACATTTTTTTTTGGTACGATCATTTGAGTGAGTGTGTGTGTGTGTGATTGTGTGATTTATTAGTTAATTGTATTTTCTTTATTTTTTTTTTGTAAAGAAATTCTTGTTTTCTTTGAAGAAATTCTTGTTTTCGATTTAAAAGGAAAGCCTTGCTCATTCCACGTTACAATTATATAGGTTTCTATTTTTTAATTTATAAACACTTGTCTCTTTATTAGATCTTACCCATAATAATACAAGGTATTAAACTCCAAATCCGTTGAGTACGCACCTGTACAAAGCTGCAGTCATTCACGTTTTAGGTCAAAATGCATACGAAACTTGTTTACTTACCATTTTCCCTAAAAATAATGCATCTACCCGTTTAGGACTATAATTGCATATTTATGGATACCTGAATAACTTCACCTCCTTATTAAACACAAGACATAACATTCAGTAGAGGAATAGAAGAGGTCATTTATTTACTAAAATAAATGACAGGATAATCAAACAAGACATATGTATATGTACATACAAATAAGACAAAGCAAAACATAATATGACAAATAACCAAACAAGTCATATGTTTAAGTAAACATCAAATAATACAAAGCAAAACATACTAAACATAGATCACAAACGATTATGCAATATTTATAAAAAATGTGATGTACATACAAATCTTACATAATATACTGAATATGATTGAAAAGATGGGGCACATCCGCCGCCGAATATACTAAAAATATTACCTAAAGGTCTTAAAAATGTAGGAGGTGGGGAGGGCGGTGGTTACTTATTTCTTAGGTTAATTTCTCCGTGACTTTATAAAAATGGCGACTGACGCTAGAAAAAACTGCGCATGCGCAGGTACACATACAATCGTTCTATTTAAAGAAAGGGAGCCAAATACAAAAATATTAAAAATCAGTACCCATAAATGTTTTATTATCATAAACCTGTTTTTTTTTTCAAATCTCCATGAAAAGCCTTCAAATTTTGCAAGCCGACGGAAAATTCATTTAACAGGACTACGTACTAGTCCTGGACAGGAATTTTATGTTAACAAATCGTTGGGTTTTAAAATTTAAAAAATCGCCTTTATCAAATATAACAGTTTATTATTTATTATTATTATTATTAATTGAAATATAACAGTTTATCATTCATTGAAAAATTGTCACGGCGCTAAAGGATATCAAAATGACATGAAAGAAGTGCTGCAAAGCTCTTTGTTTCCCTTCCATAACAAAGAGTGATTTTCAAAATATTCTTTAGCCTGTTCTCAGATAGAGAAGCGTTTATAAACCACTCTCAAAGAGATCAAAACTGAGTAAGTTTCCGTAATATGTTGCCGAAATCCATTTTTTAGAATGTTTTCAAGCTCACAAACTTAGCTGTGACGCCTCAACCGCTCAACTATATGATATCATGCGACCTATGACTGCATGACCGTAATCGGAAAATCAAAGAAAATGTAATAATTAAACGGAAAATACAATGTTTTGTCCATTAATATGGATTCATTTTACTCGTGAGACTTGTACCGAAAACATGAATGACTGCAGCTCTGTAGAGGTGGGTAAAATTCAGAGTTTAATACCTTGTATTATTATGGGTAAGATCTAATAAAGAGACAAGTGTTTATAAATTAAAAAACAGAAACCTATTTAATTTCATTTGCAGATTCAATTTTTTCAAAAACAAATATTATGTCGTTAGTTCTGTTTTTTTTCCCTAAGGAAAACTAATTCAAGAATAGATTTGTATCGATGACTGCACTATATATAAAAGGCGAACTTAGTAGCCCTCATCAGCCTCTTGCGCATTCCATTCACTGTTTTTGTGAATAAAATCATGCATTAAAAAGCACAACAAGAATAATTAATTTTATTTTCAAGTGTATTTTTCAAGTTCAATTTTAGATTTTTATAATGAGATTTAATGTCTCTTGATCTTCTTTCGTTTTCAACCGTGACTCATAGGTGGACGCGTTTGTGTGTTTTTTAAGTCTGCAATCTAAAAATACTTTATATTCCGCCATATTATCTATTTGCGCAATATCATTTCAAGCTAAGATATTAACAGCTCATTGGATAATTACTTGTATTCTGAGCAAGGTATGGATATCATCAAAACTGAATATATAATTAACTATTTTAACTACTACATTTATCAGAAAACATATATTCATCATTTTTTTAACTTTCGTTTTCCATTGCACGATGGTAAAATGATTTTGCTTCTAATCATTATATGACTTTGTAAATATATATGTATATTAAACTCAAATCGTCACTTTTCCTTTACGATATATCCTCAAAAGAGGACGAGACCGTTTCTTTTAAATGCCACTGTCATCTTAACTAAGAATGCCTTGTACAGAAAACCTTTTATCTATATAAGATGTCGGAAAAGTTTTCAGACAAGCAAACGGACAGATTCAGGTCATTTTCTGGAAATAAAAAAACGTGGTGTAGGTCAAAAGAGGAATAATCTTTTTTTTTTTTGTTAACTGCACGAGTCTGTAAATTCATTGCAAAGATTATGAAACAAAAGTACTTTTTAGCTTACATGAGCCGAAGGCTCAAGTGAGCTTTTCTGATCAAAATGTGTCCGTTGTCCATTGTTGTCGTTGTCGTCGTTAACTTTTCACATTTTCATCTTCTCCTTAAGAACCTAAGAACCACTGGGCCAATTTCAACCATACTCGCCACAAAGTATCATTAGATGAAGGGTATTTAAGTTTCTTCAAATAAAGGGCCACGCCCTCATCCAAGAGGAGATAATTATGAATTAGTGAAAAATTAATTGCATTAAAAAAAATCTTCTTCTCAAGAACCACCTGGCCAGGAAAGATTAAACTCACGTGGAAACATCCTCGGGTAGTGTAGATGCAAGTTTGTTCAAATTATGACCCCCCGGGGTAGGGTGGGGCCAGAATGGCCGATCAAAATTTTACATAGGATTGTATAGGAAAAAATCTTTAAAAATCTTCTTCTCTAGAACCACTGGGGCAGGAAAGATGAAACACATGTGTAATAATCCTCTGGTAGTGTAGATTCAAGTTTGTTTAAAGCATGACCCCCGGTGATAGGGTGGGGCCACACTGGCTGAAGTTTTTCATAGGAATATATCGGAAAAATGTTTAAAAATCTTCTTCTCAAGTAAAACCATGATTAGTGATATTTATATGGAAGCATCCTCAGGTACTGTAAATTCTAGTTTGTTGAAATCATGACCCCCAGGGATAGGGTGGGGCCACAACTGGGGATCCAAGTTTTACATTTACAAAAATATATTTAAAAAATATTCTTCTCAAGAATAGAAAATCCATGATTAGTGATAGTATTATTTGTATGGAAGCATTTTCAGGTAGTGTAATATTAAATTTATTCAAATCATAGCCCCCAAGGGTAGCGTGGGGTCACAAAGACGGATCAAAGTTTTACATAGAAAAATAAATGGGTAAATCCAAAGAACAGAAAAGCTATGTTTAGTAATATTGACTCCTAAGCATCCTCATGTTTTGAAAATTTAAAATTTGTTCAAATCATGGCCCTTTGGGGTGGGGAAGGAAACAATGGGGAATCAAATTCAAATTATTACAAAGTTATATATAGCATTGATTGATTGATTGTATATTGTTTAACGTCCCTCTCGAGAATTATTCACTCATATGAAGACGTCACCGTATGCCGTTGAAGGGCTTCAAATTTTGACCTTTACTCGGCACTCAGGGCCATTGAGCAGTGAGGGATCTTTATCGTGCCAACACCTACTGCTGACACGGGGCCTCGGTTTTAAGGTCTCATCCGAAGGACCCGCAACTTTCACTTCAAAGTGCCGAGCGCATGGCGAAGGAACAGTTGCTACCCATTTTTTATCGACTTAGGTCAGCCGCGGCCGAGATACGAACTCATGACCTCCCGTTCACGAAGCAAGCGCTCTACCGACTGAGCTACCGTGAACGGTAAGTTATATATAGGAAGAAAATGTTTTAAAAAATAAAATGTTTTTTAAAAAATCTTTTTTTCAAGAACAGCAGTCATATCTGTATTAATACGAAGACATTCTCAAGTAGTTTTAAAATTCAAGCCCCTCCCCATCCCCGTAAATTTTACAGTTCTGATCTGATTTGTGCTATTCCTAGCCGATATTTGCTCAGGTGCCTCTTGTTTTGATTTTATGGTTTGTTTTTATTCCAGTGATCTCTCATCAAAAAAACTGTAACAGAGACAAATATGAATTCAAATTCCACATACCATCCCTAATTCTGAATAAATAGATAAACGGTTATTTCCACGTTAATAGTGTTACATGTACAAACTAAGATGCATAATAAAATTCCATAGTCAGTGGTATATATCTATGTAATTTAATTTTGTTTGTATTTTAGTCTCTCCTTGGTTGATTTCCAAAAATTAACTCAAATTATTCTGTATAATCTGGTTTGTAATGAACACACCACCTTGATTTCCCCTCATTTCAAGTCCTCGGGATTCAATAAAATTTCCAGATTTTATACCTTTAACTTCAAACAGTAGCTCGATCTTACCTCATGTAAACAAACATTATGGCTGTTAGGTCTATGCATCAGTTATTACCTCCCTTGGCTTCCCATCATTTCCGCTACTACGGTTGTATTATTGATTGATTGATTGATTGTATACTGTTTAACGTCCCTCTCCAGAATATTTCACTGATATGGAGACGTCAACATTGCCGGTGAAGGGCTTCAAATTTAGGCCTATGCTCGGCACTTACGGCCTTTGAGCAGGGAGGGATTTTTATCGTGCCACATCTGCTGTGACAGGGGCCCTCAATTTAAACGGTCTCATCCGAAGGACCGCCCCATTTAGTCGCCTTTTACGACAACCAAGGGGGTACTGAGGACCTATTCCAACCCGGATCCCCACGGGGCCGGTTGTATTATTGAGCTGTAGTATTATTAAGCTGCAAATTTGAACTCATACACAGCAACAAAATTTTACATCCACAGATGTTTAATTATTTTAAAATTAAATTATAAGGAATAAATCTAATTCTTGGCAATCTAAATTTTGATAAATTAAAATTTGCGGTATTTTTGCTTATTTTAACCTTCATCTTGAAACAAATATGTTCTCTATAGCGGGTCTTGTATTTTGGTATTTTTCAAAGACACAAAAAATATAAAGGAGTGTGCATTTAGACACAAACAGTGCGATATAACTGTCTTGTGATAACATCTCGTTTAACAATTACAGTCAATTGATTCGTGAGCAGTGTTAAAGGTGCATAGACTCAGATTTGAACTAAATATTTTCTAAAGTTTTCTTTATAATATCACCACTTATATATTGCAATTTCATTTTACACGAAAATATATTGAAAATCTTATTTCATCTAAAAGTCATTGAAACTTCAAGTTTTTAGACGTGTTTGATTGACACATCCTTGTACTCTCACAAATTTTAATTATATACTTAATACGAAGGAAAAGTGGCAATCTTGTTGTGTATGAATGTAAAACATTAAAACAGTTTACTATAATCCAGAAAGTTCAGAGTAGAAATGTTCGAAAGCAAAACATACACACAGTGTATTGTCAGTCCGTGCATTTTTGGTGAGCAGATCACAATTGAACGAACCTGGTAAAACGTAAACATTACAATAACAGAACTCGTCCCCTGTTTATAAAAACTGTGTACGTTTCAAGGGTATGTTCAATTTGCTAAACTCTGTACACATCGATTAGCGCGGACTGAACATTCTTGTGAAGGGGTTTTGCTTTCAAACATTTCTACTGTGAATATAATTATCTTTCTGGATTAAAGTTTTAATATTCCTCATTAATATACAATACACAAGATAACCACTTTTCCTAAGAAATAAGAATAAAATTAAAATTTGTGAGTGTACAAGGTTGTGTCAATCAAAACCGCCCCAAAACTTGAAGTTTCAATAACTTTTAGATGAAATAAGATTTTTGATATACTAAAGTATTTTTGTGTGAAAACATATATAAATGGTGATATTATACAGAAAATATTTGCTTTAAATCTTTGTCTATGCACCTTTAACCCCCCTCCCCCCTCTTACGACTATATACATGTATATATGGTAGTGCGATCCTCAGCAGTTATTTGTTTTTTTCTCCTCATTCGATTTTCTAGGTTTTCTGTTTCCTTCAATATTATACCAGGGTATTGTTTTCTGTCTAAAAAGCTTATGTTATCGTTAAATGACACCACAGATTACAGAAATTACTTTATTGGTTCTATATCAGATGATAATAATATAATTTTACAAAGTTATTTCTACCAATTTATAACCTCATATTTTTCAAATCGTCATGTGTTTTTTATTAAAAGATTATAATTAAAACACCAATTAATAATTTTAATGACAACAATACCTAGTGAAGATAGACTGCAACGCTTAACAAACGCTAGACTGTCATTTAGATTTTTTATGAAGAAAACAGTTTGCAGTTACTTTAAATGATCAGCAATACATTATAGTCTGACTGTATAATTACATTACATTTTTTCAGATGTCATCCATGTTCAATAAGACAAGAGCTGTCAGTTGTCCACGAAGCTGGGATGGATATTTGGAAGCTGCCTCCAAACTTTGTCCTCAGATTGACGGCGAGTATAATTATATTTGTGTCCCAAACCAAAACAAAACAGAGCTTGTTCAATTCTGTTTCAGAAGTGGAAGGTTTCCTGCTTGGCAGTTAGGTACGTGTTATTTGGTTTAAATATTCTCAATCGAATGTTGCTACTGTTTAATTGCTCAGTGTATTTTTGTGTTTCTTAAATCTGAATGGGATTCGTAAAAGGATTTACCCGCCATATTCGATGTTCAATCGCTCATTTATTCCCAGTGCAGTGTAAACAGTCGTCACGTAGCGAGAAAAATTACTGTATACTTCTATAATGCAGAAAAGTAGGATACCAAAGAAACTAACAGTTAACATTTGCATAAGACATGCAGTATACAAACAAATGCACGCAACTACAATAAAATGTAAACAAAATAAATGTATAAGATAACCAGCAAGAACACCAATATACATGACAATAAAGCAGTGAGGTTAACAAATTTGAGCGATATACGCTGGTGCTTAAATCATATTACCAAAACTGGCGTAAATTCATTTACTTGTCGTGTTTAGCTTTAAGTACCAAGAATTTTGAAAACACTTGGTAAATGCTATATTGAAACATTTTCCCTAATATATATTTTATAAAGATCTACTCGCATGAACGCATGAAATGTTTTGTTGTAATAAATTATCTTTTCCTAAGCCGAGCATTGTCCATACCTTCACAATACTGGTCACATGAATGCTGAGAATTGCACAAGATTTTCATATGGATGCCCGAGAAAACATTACATGACTAAAGAGATTTATAAATGTAAGTTCATTTTTATGGTAAATAGTAGATAGACTTTTATTAATTTTTTTTGTCTACAGTTATTAAAATTACCCAAAGGATTTTTTTTATATTGACATGGTTTTCAACTTCTTTGTTCGAACGTTGTTTTCGAAACTAAAACGTACAAAATGGAATTTTGTAAAAATAAAGGTGTCAGTCTAAAAGAGTAAGTGGTAAACGAAATATCTTTTAAAAGATATAGTTTATTAATTTATGTATTTTAGGAGGTCTATGACTTGAAAGGTCGGACATAAAAATTTATCATGGCTTTTTAGCTCAAAATATTGCGATTTCAAATTTGCATTTGGTATCATTAATTCAATAACAATAACCAAATGCAGAGTAATTTGTGTCAGTGTATCAAAACATTTTTGTTTGGATTGGTAAGTGCAAGAAACCATATTGATTGATTGATTGTATATTGTTTAAGTCCCTCTGGAGAATTTTCACTCATATGGAGACGCCACCGCTTTCCGGTGGTGAGCTGCAAATTTTGTCCAATGCTTGGCACTTAGGGTCATTGATCAGGGAGGGATCTTTATTGTGCCAGCACCTACTGCGACACGGGACCTCGGTTTATACGGTTCCATCCGAAGAACCCGTCTCCATGTCCCACAATGGGATTTGAATCAGCTACTTACTTCGCGACTCCATTGATATCATTGATATACATGACTTTGAAAACAGTAAAAAAAGAAATGATCAACCCGTCATACACTTGTTCTAATGGGATGTATCATTCCAAATATAGAATTTAAATATGACACGATCTTATAAGAAAAGAAATTGAACAAATACAATTTATATTTTGTTAAACTGTTCTTTTTCCAGATCAAGCGTGTTTAGATATAGATCCAGAAAGAGGATGTTACGTTGCAGATTCAAATTGCAGGTAATTAATATTTAAAGAGTTATTTCTTCAGAGTCACCATAATAAGGTTTAAACCGCTTTTTTTTTTTCGATTCCATTAATTTAAATTGTTTATCATGATGTATTAAAAAAGGGATTTTCAATGCAATTTTTTCTATAATACTGCTAGCTTTTTTATTTTAAAGGAATCTTCAATGACCCTGACCATTAAATTCATAATTATTAAATGTAAGTTTAAGGTTATGACAGTAAAGAACACCTGCTTTGCAGATATACTCATGTATTCCATGAGACCCTTTAAAGCTTCATGGTTAATACATGTCTACAAAGATATTGGGCATTACCATATGCATCTTCACTGAAATAATGTTACTTTTTATACCCCCGCTCCGAATGAGAGGGAGGTATACTGTTTTACCCTTGTGTGTCTGTGTGTCCGTCTGTCTGTCTAGTTATCTGTCCGTAACAAATTTTCGTCGCACTTTTCTCAGCACCTTCTCATCGCAGATACTTGAAATTTTAACACAATCTTCTCTGAGGCATTCCATATGGTGGGATACATTTTTGGTCAAATCAGATGTCAACTTCCTGTTTGTCTATGCGTCTGTCTGTTTCATTCATAACACAAATTTTCGTTCCAGTTTTCTTGGCAACTACTCATTGCAGATGCTTGAAAGTTTGATGCACTCTTTGTTGAGGCATGCCATATGACGGGATTACTTCTGATATAAATCTGATGACATTTTCATACTTTTCAGTGCATCTGTCCGTAATTGAACTTGTGTACATATTACCATGATAGTATTTATTCACATCAGAGCGAGGGTATTCCTAGTGAGCATTGGCTCACAGATTTCTTGTTAATTATATTCACATTGTACGAAATGGTGATGTTGAAAAGAATATCAGCAATGTTCCTGATTTTGGTTATGTAAAGATTCGACTGCTCGTCTTCATTGTGATCATATCCCATACAATTTTAAGTTCACCTGAGTCACTCAGGTGACCTATTGCTTTCCGTTTTCGTCCGTCGTCGTGCGTCGTGTGTTGTGTGTCGTGCGTCATGTATTAACATTTGAACATTTTAGCTTCTTCTCTGAAACTACGGAACCAATTTCAACCAAATTTGGTATACAGCATCTATGGGTGAGGGGGAACAGAAGTTGTGAATTTTATGCTCCCCGCCTCCCTGGAGCCTGAGGGGTGGGGCCAAAACCACTAAAATTAATGAAATCTTCAAAAATCTTCTTCTTCTTCACTCCTGGATACCCAGCAGGCTAACTGTAGCATGAATTTAATGAGCATTGAGTCCTCTACCATATTTGTAAAATTCATGGCCCCATGGTCAGGGGTTCTAGTGCTAGGGCAGGGCTCTATTGATTTAATATATAGTGAAAATGCATTATTTCTTTGAAAATCTTCTTCTCTGCTCCTGGCTATCAGATAAACTAACTAAGTACATAGTTATGATGAGCAAGAGCGCCTCTTCAAAAATTGTGAATTTTATGGCTCCAGGGTCAGGGGTTCTGGTTTTAGTGCGGGACTATATTGATCATATAGTGAAATGCATTGAAAACCTTCTTCTCAGCTTCTGGATATTGAATAAACTAACTTACTATAAAGTTATGATAAGCAAGAGTGTCTCTTCCAAAAATTGTGAATTTCATGGCCCCAGGGTTCTGGTGTTAGGGTGGGGCTATATTGATTATACTGAAAATGCATTAATTCTTTGAAAAATCTTCTTCTCTGCTTCTGGATATTGAATAAACTAGCTAAGTACATACATGTAGTAATTATGAGCAAGAGTGCCTCATCCAAAATTGTGAATTTTATGACCCCAGGGTCAGGGGTTCTAGTGCTAGGGCAGGGCTGTATAATGATTATATATTGAAAATGCATTAATTCTTTGAAAATCTTCTTCACTGCCCCTGTGTATTAAATAAACTAACTAAGTAGATAGTTATGATGAGCAAGAGTGCCTCTTCCAATTAAAATTGTGAATTTTATGGCCCCAGGGTCAGGGTTCTTGTGTTAGGGTGGGGCTCTATTGTTTATTGATAGTGAAAATACATTGTTTGAAAATCTTCTTCTCTGCTTCTAGGTATTAATAATACTAACAAAGTACATAGTAATGATGAGCAGGAGTGCCTCTTTCAAAATTGTGAATTTAATGGCCCCAGGGTCAGGGGTTCTGGTTTTAGGGCAGGGCTCTATTGATTATATAGTGAAAATGCATTAATTCTTTGAAAAATCTTCTTCTCTGCTCCTTGGTATCAAATAAACTAACTTCGTATTTAGTTATAATTTGCAAGAGTGCCTCTTCTAAATTTGTGAATTTCATGGCCCCTGTTTCAGGGGTTTTGCCATTTGGTGTAAAGGGGGTGGGCTCTTTTGATTATATATTGAAAATGCATTAATTCTTTGAACATCTTTCCTTTGCTCCTGAGTATTATGCAAATGAACCAAGTACATGTATATTTATTGATGATGAAAAAAGTTGCATATAGCAAAATGGTTAATTTTATATCCCTGGGTCAGGGGTATCAGGGAGGGGGGGGGGGCATAGTCTGAAAATAAAGTTATGCTTTGCAATCTGCTTTTTAGTATTAATAAACCATTTTATGATACATTTCCAAAATTTTGAATTATGTGGCTCTAGGGTCAGTGGTTCATTTGGGATGGGGTGCACAACTCCTTATAAATTGGAAGTGCATTTTCTCTCTGTTACTCTGATCTACCTCTGCGTATTAAGTAAATAGAGTAAGCATGCTAAGTTTATAATTATGATAAGCAATGGTGCCTATTTCAAAATTGTGAATTTCATGGCCTCTAGTTTCAAACACCAACCAAAATCAATTGTTGGAAAGTTGTTACACGATACTCAGGTGACCTACAGTGTATGAGGCCCGTGGGCCCTCTTGTAGATTTTACGCATATTGCGTTATAATTTCAGAGCAAACATTAAAATGCCACACAAACGACGTTTGCCTGAAAAAAGTTCCAGGCTTATCTTAAAACGAGATGTCATGAAAGGTTTACTTTCTGTAATTCCCAGACACCTTCTTATCGTTAAATAAAGATAAATGAACAATCATAAATATTGTTCAATTCAACAAAATAAATATGAAAGGTAATTTACAACTTGTATATTCGATACTAGATTAGAACTCACTCACAGGATTCAATTCTATTTTACTTTGCTAGGACCAAAATGAAAGTGTTAAATAGTGATGGTAGGAGGTAATATAATTTGTCTTTGTAATTGAATTGATACATTTCATAGATAGATTCATCATTTATCAGTCTATTTGTCTGTACATTAACATTCATTTGAGTATATGTATTGGAAATTTAGAGAAAGCTAAATGCATGGAAAGAATGTTAAAACCATGCAAAAAGGAAACAATGAGAGTAAAAAAGAACTTCAGGGTGATTTGTTTACCTGATCAATGAAGAGGACATACTATGGTTGTAATCGGATGAAAGTAGATGTTCATTCCTCCATTGCACCTGATCTCACCTTTGATATTTTCAGGGGTTTACGTTTGCTTGTAATGTTTATTATAACTGTTGATTAAATCAAGTTTTGTCTTCATCGTGTTTATTTAATTGATATTTGCAGCAAGTCACTGACCTCAGCAATGACTCCAGCTAGTACATCCCCAGCAGCAGGGAATGGAGTAACAATAGCCCTGTCCGTTGTTTTTGGTGTGATATTTTGTCTGCTTATCTCAGTACTGCTATCATTCATCTATATGAAGAAAAGAAGAAGTAAGTTTAAATACATATAAAGATTCCTCAATCGCATTTCAAGTTACTATCACAGTCAAGTTCAAAAATGAAATTGACATTTAATTTATTTAAGGTATCATATTTTATATGAAATCGGGAAGCACTTTTTCCTTTATGCTTCATTTCCTCAATATCTCCGACAAGTGCGAGGTTTTGCTCTTGTTATGAAGGTCTGTAACAAAGGTTTATCATGATATATCATGTTAAATATGGCTGAAATATAAATGCATTTGTCCTTATGCACTACGCATTGAGATAACGTTAGGGGGACGTTAATACGTTATATTAACGTTATTTGTGTTTATTGCTGATGCTTTTCTAAAAATTGAATTTTATACTTTTTTGAAATCTTCAATGATATTTTTAATCATTGCAGCATTTTTTAAAAATAAAAATGTCCTACCAAAGGAATTTACAAAATTTTGATTACAGTTCATTTGATTGTACCTTGAATCAGCACATGTTTTATAAGATATTGAAAAAAGTAATTTGAATTCAAACACAACTATGCACAAGCTCCCTCTCTATTGAAATATGAAATAAAATCAATCATTTGCCGCACAAATTTTGAGAAATCTAAATTTTTCTTTTTTATATTTCAAGTTCAGATAACTCTTTAAATTTTTTTTTTCATGTGCAAAATGACCACATCTTCACTTGTTATTAGTCTTGTAAAATTTGTTTTATTTTACTGTTATCGTTATCTAGCAAACGTTTTAACTAGTTTAACATTATTTTAAATTGTTCAAAATCCCTTCATTATATATTGAATACATTAAATACAAGTTTAAGAATGCACCAATACACTAGACTAAACTACTGACGCAAAACTTAAGACAATCATTGTCTTACTTTTAAAACCTGTTTATGATGTAATTGATATAAAAATATGTTACTTTAATTAAAAATAAATAAGGCATATTAATGTCAAACCTTATAAAAAACTACAATGTTTACTGAAGTGAGACCAATTAAAAGAAGAAAATCAAAATCGTGTCTTTTCCATTTTTTATGAAAAAAATATCATTTTTTCTTTGTATTTGTGTCCTTTCAATTTGTACTAAATAAAAATTGGAAAAAAATAAAACCGTATGCGGCGTTTGACACTAGAAGAGCGAGCTAATACAGACAGTATGGCGTCTGCAGGGTGTTCCTTTAGAGAAATCTGTAAAAAATGAAAACAATAAAAAGCTGATAAATTCCACTCATGAAAAATTGTTGCAAATAGAATAACAAATAAATAAAAATGTTATCTATAGATAGCCACGTCATTAAATTAACAGGATATATACATGAAGTTGAACAGTGTTCAACAAAACTGGCCCAACCGGAAGTTTAGTGGATTAGGTATGGAAACTAAGTCACCGGATTATTACTAGGCGAAATTCAATGACTGTTTGTTGTTTGATTTATAACTGGGGGACTACTTCTGTGGCGACCTCACAGACCACTTTTAGTGATCAAGAATTTCATATCTGGACCAAAATGGTGCGCAGATCAAAACTGAAAATTGCTTTTCGGACAAGGAGGTCATTCAAGGGTCTTTTCATGATACTAAATCATTTGTCAATCCCACTATTTTAGAAATTATGGCCTATTAAATACACTAGTACCAATACGGCAATTCACAAATAAGAATTAACAAGTGGTAAGTGCAATTTTGTCTAGTGTATATTAGCATTTTTTCTTTCCAAATCTATACCAGCACATCACAAATTTATAACAATGCGAAAAAATATTTTTTTTTTTGCTAGTTTTTTTTTTATCATACCCTTTGTTCTGAATTTGTTGATATGCGTTTATAATTTAATGATTTATTTTAATGCCACTTTTCATATTTTTATCTGAATGCTCGATACTGATTGATTTTGAATTTTGAATATTTTTATGACATGACATGCATTGGTTTACAGTCACACTGGCTTTTATTGTGTTTGTCACTCGTGAAATTGGTTAAATCAAGGATTTTTTTTAGAAGAATATTTTGGATAAGTATTCATATAAAGTGACTCAAAATTGCAGAAAAACTAAGGGGTCACTGTTCATCTTACTGATCTACGGTACAATGAAGTTGAACTTTTGCACTTAAATTTTAACTCTTTGTTTAATTACTTTTATCTTTTTCATTTTAATCAAAAGTAACCATGTCAATAAAAATGAATTTATTTTACGTAAAATAATTTGAATGAAATTTATCATTGAATTTAACAAATCTTGCAAATTAATGCGCGTAAATTATTTTGTGACCCTTTTGCACTAAAAAAGTAACATGTTTGGGGTATCAAAAATTTACATAGACATTAAAACTTTTTCTTAAATCAAGCTTTTTACCGCTTTAGTGCTGATCAGGGAAATATTGGTCAAAATATGTGATTTTCAGGCGAAAATGGTGTAAATTTTATATGGACTTTTTTTTACATACCCCCGGGATCTTCATTTTTGGCAATGTTTGTTGAAGGGATGTGTTAAACTTATTCTAAAATATAAACTAATGCCTATATTAAATATTCCTAGCAATATCATAATCGAAATATTCTCCGAGTAAGAGTATGTGAGGATAAAGTTCCAAGATATTAAATTTAATAAATGATCACATTTGCAGAATTATCTGCTAAATGTCCTTCAACCATGAGAAATAGTTGTCCCTTATAAGTCATCCTTCTTTGTAGCCTTTGAGCAGTTTTTTCGTTGAATATTATAACATTTACATTGTTGAAATTAAATATGTTATATAAATTGAGTTTTGATAAATAGTTTCGAAGTAAGAGGTTCTGCGTGAGCTTTCCCCAAAAGCCGACAAATGACATACCTATATGTTATAACAGATGTTTCGGATCGAGGATTTAACAAATGGTCACTAAATAGCGATTTATTCGTATTTTTTAAGGGTACATATGTACATTTAAGCTCGACTTCTGTTAAAAAGCATTATATTTTAGCAGGTATATTTGTACTCCACACATCAGTGAAAAAGAACAGACAACCTTCTTGTGTTACTTTTGCTCTCTTGCATTTCTATTTGCGTTTTCCATGTTTTATTCAACCTCTTTTAAACGCACAAATTTTACAGATGTTTCATTTTTACTAAATTGAATGAAGATGTTTGACTTACGAACGTGCATGGATGTTTTACTATCTGTTATTAAATGCATCCGGAAGTTCAACAAATGACATTGAACGAAAGGAATCTGAATTAGTTCCTTTTTATTCAAATGGAGATACGTAGTGTTACATGTATACGATACACGATTTCATATACCGCTTATTTCAATAAATTATTTAAAAGTGACTGAAGGGGGGGATGTCATGATTTGAACAAACTTGAAATACACCATCTGAGGATAATTTCATATAAATATGACCAACCTTTGCTCTAGATCTGTTGTTCTTGAGAAAAATAATTTTCCTGTATATTCCTATCTAAAAGTTTAATTATCCATTGTGGTTCCACCTTAGCTTTGGAAGTCATTATATGAACAAATCTGACAATGATTCGACCATATGAGTTTCATCTTTTCTGGCCAACTGGTTCTTGAAATTTTTCAATGATGCCATAAATTTTTCACTATTATTTAATTTTCTACCTTTGGAGGAGAGCATGACCCTTCATTTAAACAAATCAGAATCTCCTTAAGGACAGATGATACAAACAAAAAAATGATTGCCTGGATTGGTATATATTTTTTGGTCTTATTTCATTGAAAATGATGTAAAAAAACAAATTTCTAGAATATAAAGAAATTGTAAACCTTCTATGATGTTCAAAAGTCCACCTCTCTGAAACCATCCTTATTAATCTATGCAAATATTTTTCACTTCAAATCCCATTTTTGTGAGAATTTGAATAGAAATTGAAAATACGCGGTTAAGCTTATTCAATTTACTCATTGAAACATGACTCAAGTTGTTATTTTCAAAGCCAAGAATACTCTGTGTCAAGTTTAGTAGAAATTGGTCCGGTAATTCTGGAGAAAAAGATGAAATTGTGTAAAGTTAAGCACAACGACAACGCCAACGACGGTGACAGTCAACGAACAAATTTCGATCAGAAAAGCACACTTGAGCTTTCGGCTCAGGTGAGCTAAACACTTATGTATACAAAAAAGCAGAATGCTTAGTGAGGAATGAATTTTATATGGCGAAGGTTTCAAGAGTGCTGAAATTCAATTACACAAAAAACTACCATATTGGTTGTTATACATATTTTTCTGTACATATTATAAAACCCCTTTTTTTTAGTTTATTGTAATATATATATATATATATATATATATATATATATATATATATATATATATATATATATATATATATATATATATATATATATATATATACACACACCAATTTTTAGGATAAATCGCCAAATTGTAAATTGTTGAATATTCTCCTCATACGGTACGCATGTTTTAATGAAATCTTTGTTTTAGAATACAGGAAGGAAAAACACAAAGACATCAACTCCCATCCAGCAAAAAAATATAAAAGAACGGAAAACGAATATGTAAAACTCCTAGGAAATTTGGCAGAAAACGAAAGAGAAACGGTTAACGAACCAAATGTGTCGTTACATGAATTAGGTTACATTTCAGAAAAACCAAACGCCAAAATTATGGATTTCAAAGATAAAAGAAATACAAAAGCACATGCTCTTTATTCTGCCTGTGAGAATGGAAATACAGATTTGTGTCGATACCTCCTCAATCACTATCCAGACATGCTTAATCAGGTAGATGATGATGGATGGAATGCCGTATTATATGCTACACAAGGAGGAAACGTTGAAATTCTAGAACTTCTGGCACAAAAAGGCGTCGACATGACATATAAAAATAGGAATGGCAGTAATATTCTTCATATTGCTTGTGTCAATTCTCGATTAGAAATGTGCAAACATATATTCTATCATTATCCAGACATGCTTAATCAGGTAGATGATAATGGATGGAATGTCGCATTCTATGCCGCACAAGGAGGAAATGTTGAAATTCTAGAACTTCTGGCACAAAAAGGCGTGGACATGACATATAAAAATAAATATGGCGGAAATATTCTTCACATTGCTTGTCTTAATTCTAAATTAGAAATGTGCCAATATATCATCCAACATTATCCAGACATGCTTAATCAGGTAGATGATTATGTATGGAATGTCGCATTCCATGCCGCACGAGGAGGAAATGTTGAAATTCTAGAACTTCTGGCACAAAAAGGCGTGGACATGACATATAAAAATAATGATGGCGGAAATATTCTTCACATTGCTTGTCTTAATTCTAAATTAGAAATGTGCCAACATATCATCCAACATTATCCAGATATGCTTAATCAGGTAGATGATGACGGATGGAATGTCGCATTATATGCCGCACAAGGAGGAAATGTTGAAATTTTAAAACTTCTGGCAGAAAAAGGCGTCGACATGAAACATAAAAACAAGGTTGGCTGTAGTTTTCTTCATATTGCTTGTATGAACTCTAAATTAGAAATGTGCCAATATATCATCCAACATTATCCAGATATGCTAAATCAGGTAGATGATAATGGATGGAATTTCGCATTCTATGCCGCACAAGAAGGAAATGTTGAAATTTTAAAACTTCTGGCAGAAAAAGGCGTCGACATGAAACATAAAAACGAGGTTGGCTGTAGTGTTCTTCATATTGCTTGTATGAACTCTAAATTAGAAATGTGCCAATATATCATCCAACATTATCCAGATATGCTAAATCAGGAAGATTATAATGGAGAGAATGCTGCATTTTATGCTGCAAAAGGAGGAAATGTTGAAATTTTAAAACTTCTGGCAGAAAAAGGCGTCGGTCTAGCATAGAAAAAAAGCTAAGCGGTTTTATTCTTCACACTCTTGTTAGAATTCTTAGTTTTTGTGCCATACTAGTATTCACCATTATCCTGATGTACCGGTATCTAAGCAAGTACACAATGCAGGAAGTAATTCCGCTTTTTAAATTTGCCTCCTAGGTAGGCGAAGTTAAATCGAAATTTTAGAACTTCTGGCATAAAAGGCGTCAACTTGTCATGTCTTAGCGCAAAATACAGCATTAAACATGTATGGTGAGTTTGAAGCGAGGCACAAGATGCTGGGAGTACACATATTACAAGATCAGAACAGAAGCAATGTGGTGATTTTGATATTGAGGATGATTGTTTGACCTCTCGGCCCAAAGCCTCTTCAAATTTTGGAAAACACCATGATGAATGCGTTAAATAAAGTGGTTTTAACGTTTGAGTTTATTGACTTCCAACACTACATGTACACTGAATTAGGTACTTTGAAAAACCGTTTATTTTTCCATTTCTCATGTTATATAGCTCAACGGACTTTTTAAACAAACACGGATTTTCGCTCATATTAAGATCACATTTTTCCTGCAATAAAACTTAAAATTATCGAGCTTCAGTACGAAACATAACCTTTATATTATTTAATATTTCATGTTAAAGGTGCATATTCTCTAAAATCATTATCTTAAATTTTGAAACTCCATGTTTTAAAAGGGAATTTGTTTATAAATTGTATAATGTTACAGGTGTATTCTTTTACCATAGGTATTTACAAATTAATTAATCGAGGTTCCTTTGGTACTATTTAGTTGAAATGTTCAAATTGACTTCCTACAGATGAGCATTTTTTGTGCTTACTTTGCACATATTTCATACTTGTCTTGGTTTTCTCGAAATGCAGCGCCTAAAATGACAAAACTGCATATAAAGAAATCATGTCAATTGATAGGATTGAAAAGTATTGTTTATCTTTCAACATAGTAAATTTTTACTATTAAAAAGAAAATTCTAAATAACATATAGGGTCTGAAACTTTGATTTTTTGCGTTGGAAGGTATTTTTCGTGATGCTAGATTTCAGAAAATTAACCTGAAAAAATCTTTTTAATATGGAAAGCAGTCGAACAAATGAAAAGTGCTTCTATCATCTTGCGCCTTAAAGTCTACACTAATTACTCCTACAAATTTATACACGCCAAACAATTTTCTACTGAAGAAAAAATACAATCAATTAATTTTAGTGAATTAATTTCTTAATGCACCCATAAAAAATTCTAGCCATAAAATTAACCTATAATATACATTTAAACCTTAGGTTTCTCTAAATTTTTTTTGTTTGACCGGTACGTATTTCGAAAATATCCTCTTACATCTATGATCCCGTGGGGATCCGGGTTAGAATAGGTCCTCAGTACCCCCTTGCTTGTCGTAAAAGGCGACTAGACCGTTTAAACCGAGGCCCCGTGTCACAGCAGGTGTGGCACGATAAAGATCCCTCCCTGCTCAAAGGCCCTAAGTGCCGAGCATAGGCCTAAATTTTGCAGCCCTTCACCGGCAATGGTGACGTCTCCATATCAGTGAAATATTCTGGAGAGGGACGTTAAACAGTATACAATCAATCAATCAATCTTACATCTATGTCCCTTTTTTATACTTTGTAAAAAGATCTTTGCTTGTTTTAATGCAAAACCATTTGCCTCTTTGTGAGCATTTACAGGTGGATGTGAAAGTATGATTGAGTGTGAAAGTGTTTATTATATAGGATCTTTTGCTTTAAATTGTTGACAAAATTAATGATAACTCTGTGACGATTGCAACGGTGAATTTTCGAGGACTAGCAACACCTCATAAGCGACGAGATGTCCTTTATTGTCATAAGAAAATTGGTTTTTCGATGATATCGATCCTGTGTTTCCAGGATACACATTTTCATGATGATTTGGAACCATACATAGAAGCTCAATGGGGGATATAAATGTATTATTAGGTCACTTGAGTAAACTCAGGTGACCTATTGCTATCTGTTTTTGTCCGTGGTCGTCCGTCGTGCATTTGAACATTTTCACCTTCTTCTCTGAAACCACAGAACCAATTTCAACCAAATTTGACATATAGCATCGATGGGTAAAGGGAAACAAAAATTGTGAATTTCATGGTCCCTGCTCTCCTGGGTTCTGGGGGGTGGGGCAAAACCCACTAAAATTAGTGCAATCTTTAAAAATCTTTTTCTTTACTTCTGGACATCAAGCAGTCAAACTTTTGGTACGATTGTAATCAGCATTACGTTTTCTATTAAAATTGTGAAATTCATGCCCCCAGGGTCAGGGGTTCTTGTGCTAGGGCGGGGCTAAATAGGTTATATAGTCAAAGTGCATTATATCTTTGAAATTCTTCTTTTCTGCTCCTGGGCATTAAATAAACTAACCAAGTGCATAGTTGAGTTGAAAATGACTGCCTCTTCCAAAATTGTGAATTTAATGACCCCAAGGTCAGGGGTTCTAGTGCTAGGGCGGGGCCATATCGATTATTATCGTGAAAATGCTTTATTTCATTGATATTCCTCTTTTTCTGCCCCTGGACATTACATAAAGTAACCAAGTGCATAGTTATGTTGAATAAGGCTGCATCTTCTAAAATTGTGAATCTAATGGCCCCAGGGTCAGGGGTTCTAATGGCAGGGCGGGGCTATATAGATTATATAGTGAAAATCTTCTTTGTTCCTGAGAATTAAATAAACTAACCAAGTACATAGTTATGTTGAATAAGGCTGCCTCTTCCAAAATTGTGAATTTCATGACCCATGGGTTTGGTGTTCTGGTGTTAGGGTTGGGCTCTATTGATTATATAGTGAAAATGCATAAACTCTTAAAAAATCTTCTTTTCTGCACCTGGGTATAAAACCAATGAACTATGTACATAGTTATGAGGAGGAAGGATGCTTCTTTGAGATTTTGAATTTCAGAGCCCCTGGGTCAGGGATTCTTGTGTTAGGGCAGGGCTCTAATGCTTATATAGTGAATATGCACGAATTCTTTGAAAATCTTTTCCTTTGATCCTGGGTATTATGGCAATGATCTTAGTATATATTTTTGATGAAGAACGCTGTTTCTTCCAAAAATGCTTAATTTCCTAGCCCCGGCGAAGAGGTACTTGGGGGGGGGGGGTCTGAAAATGATTTAATGCTTATAAATCTGCACTTTGGTATTAAGGAACATGATGAAATAAAATTTATAAAATTTCCAACATTTTGAAAGATGTGACCCCAGGGTCAGTGATTCCTGTGACAACCGATAATGATAAAGTGGAAATGCATTTCCTCTTTGTTACTGTGATCTACATGTACCTCTGGGTATTACTTATCAAAGTAAGAATGCTGAGTGCATAATTATGATAAGCAATGGTGCCTCTTTCAAAATTGTGAATTTCATGGCCTCTGGATTTAAACATGAATCAAATTCAATTGTTGGAAAGTTGTTGCATGATACTCAGGTGACCTACAAGGCCCATGAGCCTCTTGTTATTTTTTAAAGATCCACTTCACCTGGTGTAGGTGTCCTTTTTAATAACAAGTTTGAATTTAAAATTCATAAAGAAAAAAAAATAAGAGGGAAATCTAGTAGCTCTAGATTTTATGGTTGAGGATATCAGATTGACTCTTACTAATGTTTTTGGTTCAACTCTTCATTGTCCAGATTTTAATGAAAAAAAATTCTTGAAATCTTTTTGGAATTTGATAATGAATATCTTATTTTATATGGTGATCTAAATCTTGCTTTGAACCCTACGGTGGTATAATTAGGACACGCAATTATTTTTTTTTTAAATACCAGAAAAAAATTATCTTGTGAAAACGAGATAATTATCTTCTGAAAAAGAGATATTATCTTGTGAAAATGACTTATTACCTTGTGAAAACGACAGAATATAATAAGTCGTTTTCACAAGATAATATGTCGTTTTCACAAGATAATATCTCGTTTTCACAAGATATTATCTCGTTTTCACAAGATATTATCTCGTTTTCACAAGATATTATCTCGTTTTCACAAGATAATATCTCGTTTTCACAAGATAATATCTCGTTTTCACAAGATAATAAGTCGTTTTCACAAGATATTATCTCGTTTTCACAAGATAATAAGTCGTTTTCACAAAATAATTTTTCGATTCACAATATAATATCTCGTTTTCACAAGATATTATCTCGTTTTCACAAGATAAATATCTCGTTTTCACAAGATAATATCTCGTTTTCACAAGATAATATCTCGTTTTCACAAGATATTATCTCGTTTTCACAAGATATTATCTCGTTTTCACAAGATAAATATCTCGTTTTCACAAGATAATATCTCGTTTTCACAAGATAATATCTCGTTTTCACAAGATAATAAGTTGTTTTCACAAGATAATAAGTCGTTTTCACAAGATAATATCTCGTTTTCACAAGATAATAAGTCGTTTTCACAAGATAATTATGTCGTTTTCACAAGATAAATTTTTTCTGGTATTTAAAAATAAAATAATTGCGTGTCCTAAATATACCACCGTAGAACCCTGCTATTGATACATATAATTATACTTATGTTAACAACCAAAAGGCTAAAGACAAAATGATAGAAGTTATGGGGGATCTTCATATTGTTGATTATTTCAAAATCTCGAACCCAGAAAAAAAAGGTGTACACATGGAGAAAAAATCCAAGTAGGAATATCGGCATAAATATATTCTTATATCTGAATGCTTATCCCACTAAGTAGAAAATTTACATAGTATTTCTAGAACTTAAGATCAACTCGTTTGAGAGAGATAGTGGCTTGTAGAAATTTAATTATATAACATGTCACGTTAAAACATAGCGTCAAGAATTTCTTTAAAATACAGTCCCTATACATTTCACACAGTATAATCCACTCATTAAATCTTTTTTTTTCTAATACTTGACCTTTATTTTTTTTTTAAGAATTCCTCTCGTTGTATGTTGTATAATTTCCTTTGGTAAGGTTTAAATTTCTGGTATTCCTTAACTCTGATTTCACAGGATAAGCAACTCTAAAGCGCCAACATGTATGTCTTTCCGTGACGTTATTTTAGCAATTTAAATTTTAATTGTTTATAACAAGGTAACAGCCAAACTTTTGGGGTCCAGTAAATCATTTGAAAATTAAATATAACATTAGGAGGTGTTTATCAATCAATAACTCTAAATTGTCTTTTTTTTCTTTTTTTTTTTTTTGTAAATGGGACTCGTGGAAGAAAATGTTTGAATGTAGTTGACATGTTTCTTTTGATTTGAATAATATTTGAATGTTTTATGTGTGCTTTTGATAATTGCTTTTTATGATTAGTAAACAATTGATGTAGTGAATTCTAAAAGCAGCCTTTTTTTTTGTCCGTATAAATTCAGTTTAATCCTATAAGTATTTGTAGATATATGAATGTGTCTGCGAGTTAAAAACCCTTTTTATATCGCTTTGTAGATATTAAAATGCAATTATGTATGTGTATAATGGATAATGTAAATGTAAAAAAAAAACATTAACGTTTGCATTTGTGATTTGATTCTGGTGCTTAAGGGTCCTCTACACCGTGTGACTTGTGACGTATATAGAGAAAAAATACTTTAACTTCCGGTTTTATGTAGTTTGTGCACTGTTGATTTGTTTGACATCGCCTGTAAAAGAGTCTTTCAAACGCTTTAGAGATAAATTTTTTGTCAAGGGAAAAGTATGCAGTACACTGAGAGCGATACCCTAATCATACATGTAAACAATGAACACATGGCATGATCACGGAGCGACCGATAGAAAAAGATGTTCGATTATTTTTTTCAATAAAAGAACAACATACCTCTGGGTTTGTGTTACATTATAACTCGGAAACAACGGGTGTCAGTATGACAAGAACTTTATGGCTATTTATACTTTCGGGCCAATCAACCCATTAATTCCCATATCGTCCATTGAGTCTTTGTTGTGAAAGTTGACATTTTTGTTCACTAATTTGCTCGTTTCAATATTACATAATCTCGTTGTCAGTTTATAAATATTGATAGAATAGTATGCGCGCCCATTTAGAACCTATCAAAAATATTTTCGAATTCGTTATAACGATTTTTAGAATTCGTTATAACGAATTTAATTTGTCATAACAGATTCATTGAATTCGTATAACGAATTTAATTTGTTATTTCAGATTTATTGAATTCGTTATAACGAATTTAATCTGCTATTACAGATTTGTTGAATTCGTTATGACCAAATTCTGAAATTGATTATGACGAATTCAAAAAAATTTGTAATAACAGATTAAATTCGTTATAACGAATTCAACAAATCTGTAATAACAAATGAAATTCGTTATAACGAATTCTAAAAATCGTTATAACGAATTAAAAAATATTCTTTGATAGGTCCTAAATGGGCTTCGGTAGATGCGTTTCTTGTTTTCCTCTTTCATATTTGTCCAGTTCAGTAGTCAATAATGAGTAACTATAGCAGGTATGCTGATGTATGCCATGTATGCGGAGACTTGCCAAAGTTCTTGAATCCCGGGCAACAGGAAAGATAACTCCAAAAAGTTTGATTTTTGAAAAAAAAAATTCTACATCAGTGCATTTAATTCAAATTCAATTTTTTAGTGTAATCTATTTCATTGATGTTTCTTCTATGATACAAAAGGAGTCTTCCTTGATTTTTCTCTAGATGTATTTTAGAGAAAATGAGTTTTATTTATTTTTCATAAATCAAATAAACTTCTCTAAAAAAAATACTCACCGTCAATATAAACGCAACACCTTAATTTAAGCGTGAAAATTAAAAACAGGTTATAACTATGTACCAAAAAAGTTAGGACATCTTTTACTTTGCCAAAACAGTTATTTCTTTACGGTTGAATGAATTTCTTTCCATCACCGGAAGTTGCTTTTTAGCCCTCTTAACAGAATTCAAAATTTACCATTTTTAATAAAATTTTAACAATATTTTAGGTTTCCAAGGTTTTGAAACTCTTAATCAAAAGTATTGTACTAAAAGGCTGGGAAAAAATCCTTCTTTCTTTACCGGATGTGATTCCTATATTTCCTCAAAATGACTGATGGCAAGAAAGGGGTAACTAGTTTTAAGAGTTATGTGTTACCTTCTAAAGTTTAATGAAAACATTAAAAATGAATATAGTTAGGTAAAAAGTAAATTTACAAAAAGTTAATGCTCCTTTTAAACATTAAATTTTTAGACCTTAGAAAGAAACAAATACCCGGTAAATCTTAAAACATCCCCCCCTTCCGACCATTTAATGAAAACGTGTACCAACCCTACTCCCTGGGGTCATGATTTAAAAATTTGGAAACTACACTGTTCAAAGATGCTTTCACATAACTTTTATCTTTTTTTACCCCGTGGTTCTAGATCTTGAGAAGAAGATTTTTTAAAGAATGTTTTTACATATCATTTAATATTTACATGTAACTTGGATTTCCTATTGTGGCCTTACCTTACCCTTTGGGATCATAATGTCAACAATTTACAATCTATATAACCACAATATGCTTTCAAATAATCTTTTCAGGCCCAGCGGTTCTTGAGAAGAAGATTTTAAATTTTAAATCCAAAATTAATAATATTTTTTTAAGGAGCAGTAATATCTGGTGTTTTAATTCGTTTCTCTGTACGGGATACCAGCGGTGTTTTAGTACACTGTACTTCTAATAGAATATAGCAAGTTCTCATTGATTTGGACGACGCATTATAACCTCTTTAGTGTATATATCCTTACCTTAATAATTCAAAACAGAAGTTTTGATCTGGGGTTATCCCTAAACTTTACCAATCCCAATATCTGCTGGAGTATCTTATAAGGTCTGTTAAAATTAATGAATGCAACTTTTGGGTGCTTCATTAGGATAAGGGTATTTCTATTAGAACAAGTGTGTGAACAGGGCATACCTTAGATTCTTGAAATGTTTGTTAACATCTATGCAATTTATGGTAATCAAGGAAATATTCATTTGTAAACAGTTTCCTTGGACGTGAAAAAAAGGATCAAACTTCACATAACATATCATCACATATAAAAATGCATTCATACATTACCTAGTAAGTTCTAACATTACAAGGATTGCATGCATAAATATTGCCACACTATTTTCCAGTCAGTGTGTAGTTCAAATATACGTGTTTGAACTTGTATTTAAACTTGTCGTGAATAAAAACTATATAACTGACTAATTTTGCACCATGAATTTGTATCATGAAAAAATAATGCTGTGGCCTTTAATTCTACGTTTAGGTAAATCGACAAGTCTTTCAATTTATAAAATTCTTTTTCTTACCTATGACGACGTTAAATATCCCTTTGGACTTGAAATAAAAAATACCGCAGAGTCCGACACATCTTTTTCATATCTGGATATTTTAATAGAAAAAGGCGTTTATATTTCCAACAGTTCTATCGTCAACTTCCCTTCCCTTTCTTACGTAGCAGTACACTCGTACCACCTGCATTTAAGGCTTTTTCCCCAGTTGATTGATTGATTAATGTTTTAAACCGAATCGGTAATATTTCAGTCATATATCGGCGATTCCCCAGTTGATATGATAATCAAGAGCGTTTCTACGAACTATTTCTGAACGAGGTAAACGATTGACAAACAAGTTGATGAAACTAGAAAATCAACATTCTTGTTTAAATTCGTCATTTTCAAAGATCTTTGGCCGATAATATCACTTAGTCAGTTCATTCTATCATTAAGTCGAATGCTGACTTGCTTTTTCACATTAAATGTGAGGTAATTATTTACACACCAAACTGTCTGCGGATTTTTCCGTTGGTCTGATCGTGACAAGGTTTAATACAGCGGATGTGAGAGGTCGAGAGGAGGTGCATACTCCTCCATAACACCCGATCCAACATTTGATTTTTGTGAAGCTCTGCGTTTGTTATGCTTCCGATTTGTATTGTTATAATGAACTTTTGACCTTGGATACAGTTCTTCATTTCGATAATTTAATTTGATTTATATTCACAAAAAGTCAAACTCAGAAACATAAAAACATATCTGGGAAAAACAGACCGACAAGAACAATTAAAAAAAGACAAAATAAGTTACTTTTCAACATGTACTTAGTTTATAATGCAAAAAGAATTTCCCGAATCTCATTAAATATGAATTGACATATTCATATATATGTTCAACAGCGTTACTTTTTGAATTCAGACTTGGAATCCTATAATGTAAGAATGTATTAACGCAGCTCTTTATATAATGAATTTAGTTTTTGGATTAGGATGCACATCATTTTTGACGTCAAAATGCAAGTGAATATAAAGGCGTTCGAAAAATCGACTCGGCTATATTCGGTATCTAATGTTAAGTGAGAAACAAATGTTGCAGTAACATTATAAAATCACTAGACCAACAAACACCATGCTCTTTGTTCAATTAATATATATAGAAAGGAAGGATATTGTTGGATATTTTAATCAGCATATCGGATAATGCAATTCAAAGTGAACATTCGTGTTTAAAAAATAGAAAAGGGACATTCGAATACTCTCTAGTGTACATATTTCACACAGTTTATAATCAATTATGGAAAAATCCTTCACATGTGTCTGCATGAGTTATTTATGAACAAGCCATCCAGTAAACGATAACCACCCATTTCCCAACACGTAATTTCCACTGACAGAGCGTATGTAAACAACATCACCAACTTTAAGTTCAAGAGGGACAACTCCGGTACAGGTGGTGAAGCCTTGGGTAGCGCCGACCATATCACATCCATTTTTCTGCCGCCTAGCTCCATTCACCAGTAGTTCACTGTCAAATATGTACCCATGGTTAATTTCCGTCGTCCATGCAAAAACATAGAACCCTTTGACAGGAGCGGTGAAGAAGCCAGTCGTTTGGTCGTACGCATTGTGAGAGTCGTGATAAAGAGAATCGTACACGATGGCTTGATGATTACCTGGCCTCAAGGTCTGTTGCGAGTAGGCACTAAAGTAGACGGGGTCAGTACCACCTACAACAGGGTTCACAATTACAATCAAAACACTTAGAGCGAACATATTTACATGTACTATGAATTGAAAGGTTTACATAGAAGTGTTGTTTTTTTTTCATCGAAGTGTTTTTCGTTCCACTATCTTTAAAACTTATTTTGCAACTTTAATGGATATAAAGGAGAGTACGTTTGTAAAGAAACAAAATCGTATTCGTTCCCCCTGGCATTATTTAACATATTTCATGTATTTGTTGAGTTTCAAAACTCTATACATTTCTAATGATTTTTCCCCATATCCCGTATCACTAAAGATGCCAACGTTGCCCTACAATCGAAGACCATGCAGAGGATTGGATAACAATTATACATACTTGATATTGAGAAGGGAATATATCATCACGTTTGATATTATATACACAAGACGATTTTCTCTACTCGTGATGTTCACACTGTTAGTGCAAAAAAGGGACCACAACGGTCACCTGAGTAACTCTGGTCATGCTGTTCACCAGATTATCCCTTGTATTACCTAAATGAGCCCACCCCACCCCAGGGGCAATAAATTTAAAGCATGAGGCCTGGGGGCAACATCGCCCACCTGACCACTGGCTAGGAAAAACGAAAAAAAAATTTGATCGACCATTATAGCCCCCACCTACCCCTGGGGGTTTTGATTTGAACAATCTTGAATACACACCACCTGAGAATGCTTCAATATAATACAAATTGAAAAGTATCAGTAAAGTATAAGTCACATTATCCAACGATGGGGTATACGATGAGAAACCGATGCGTTTTTTGATGAAAATGGCGTGTTTGCCGGCCGGGCACCACTGGTGATCGGACGGTAACTGAGTCTTTTTTGCGAATCGGTGGGGTCATCGGTAAGAAATAATTCGTAGTTAAAATTCAGCGATGTCTCCAACAATGCCTCACATCGCTCCTCATCGACAACCCATCATTAACACATCTTTCAAGGATCGGCCGATGAACGGCCGAGCATCGTCCAATATCCGTTAAATCTGAGGTCATCGGGGAGTTTAGTGGTGTTCAACAGATAACGACCGATCATCGATCGACGTTCGAGCAAACATTGGCCTGTAGTCGACCGATGTACGAACAATGTTCATCAATGTATGAGCGATGTAATATACATCGGCCAATTATCCTGGAACATCGTTTTATGATTAGCAATGCATCGCTGGGCCTTTGTAAGTCCGGCCGGCAACCACGCCATTTTTCTCATAAAACGCATTGGTTGTCCATCGTATACCCCATCGCTGGATAAAGTGACTGATACTTTAAGGACTACTTGGCCGATATGGACCGATGTTGGGGCATCGTTAACACCACGGATTACTACCGATTACCACCGGTCTACGGCTACCGGCCGGGAAATGTGACCTAGGCATAAACAGTCATAGGTTAATGACTTTGCTGTTCTTGAAAAGACGATTTTTAAAGATTTTCCCTATACATTCTTATGTAAAATCTTAAAAGTCCAATGTACCCCACTCTATACTCTCGGGGGTCATGATTTGAACAATCTTGAATCTACACCACATGAGGAATCCAGGATGCTTCCATATAAATATGACCAATCATGGCCTTGCTGTTTTTGAGAAGATTTTGATTTTTTAGGATTTTCCCTACATTCCTATGAAAAACTTTGACCGGCCATTGTGGCCCCAACCTACCCCCAGGTGTTATGTTTTGAACAAACTTGAATCTACACTATACCTGAAGATGCTTCTAAATGAGTTTCATCTTTCTTAGCCGAGTGGTTCTTAAGAAGAGATTTTTTTTTAAATGCTATTAATTTTTCAATAATTCATAATTACATGTATTTCCCCTTCATTTGAACACACTTGAATTCCCTTCACTCAGGAATACTTTGTGGCAGTTTGGTTGAAATTGGCCCAGTGGTACTTGAGAAGAAGATGAAAATGTGAAAAGTTTACGACAACGACCGACAACGACGACAGACAACGGACAGGTTTTGATCAGAAAATTTTACTTGAGCCTCAACATAGGTTTTAGTTTTTCTGGCCCAGCGTTTTTGAGAAGATTTTTGTTAATATCCAATCAAATGTTAAACTAGGATTCTCTTTTCTGTGCCCAGGAGTCATGAATTGAACAATTTAAAATCTCACTACCATAGAATGCTTCCACGTTATTTTAGCTTTATTGGCTCAGTGGTTTTTGAGATGAAGATTTGATTTTTTAAAAGATTTTTCCTACATATTTCAATGTAACATTTGAATTCCTTATCGTGGTACCGCTCTTCCCCCGGGGGATGTGGATTGAACAATTTAGAATCTACACTGTGCAAGGATGATTCCATATAAGTTTCAGTTTTTCTGGCCCAGTGGTTCTTGGATTCCCTATCTTTAATGTACGTGGCCCTATCCTTCTCCGGGGGTCATGAAATAAACGATTCAGAATCGGCATACTACACCAGAATGCATCCATATAATTATGTTTCACCTTTACTGGCCCAGTGGTTCTTGAGAAGTTTTTGAAAAGATTTTTTAATGACCCCAACCTATTTTCTTGATAATATCCCCTTGTAAGTAGACTTTGTCCATCATTTTTTAAAATTTAAATTCTTCTTTACCCATGAATGCATTGTACCAAGTTTGATAAAAATTTGCCAGAAAAGAAGTTGAAAATGTGAAATGTTCAGACGGACGGACGACGGGCGATCAGAAGAACTCAGTTAAGCTACAAAGTTACACAAAACCTTGGTATTTATTCGGGTACATGTTAGTACAATATGTGGGTACCATTTTAAGAGTCTTGTGTTGAGTTAAAGTACGAGTTTTGTACAATTTTGCAAAATTTTACTTAATTTTCAAGGAACCGATGCGAACATAGAAAAGGATGGGGGGAAATCTAAACGAAGTATGTATGAATATTCATGCAGTCAGTAAACTTACCTGCGTGTGTATTTGCCAACTTCGTCTCTAGCTCAGAGATCTTTGTACTCTGCTGCTGGACTAAGGATTCTAAGTGCCCCAGTCTTTGTTCGTACAACTGAGGGTCCTGTACAAGAATACCATAACAAGATCCCACAGTCAAAACGACGCAGAGAGTATACTGCATGACAGGAAGGTCAAGTGAATTATTTAGAACGTTCTTCTGATATCAACTTTAAAGGATTCTCGCGAAAAATTATAAGACATCACCTGCTTTTAAAGATAAAGTTTGATAAAATAGACGGAGTATCAACATGATCAAGGTTAAAGGATTATTGTTGACAGTTTTTCTTGTGTCTGCATACATCTGTCCTGTTTATGCATTCGCACTATCTTTTGTACATATAGTATACAATTGCAGTTGCCGACTGTCAGTCACTACAGCAAACGTCTTAAAAATGACCTAATCGTGCAGTACATTAATTCTAACATGAAATTTCATTTCAAATTAAAAAAAAAATACTTTTACACTTTTCAAATTTATTAGTGCTTTAAAAATAAAAAAAAAACAGAATCTGGACTCGATGTTAGAAAATGAGTACAATTTGTACCAATAAATGGGCAACGTTCAACTTTAATCAAAGAATGTTCAGAATACTGTAGATTTTTACGATGTTTTTTTTTTTTTAATTTTCTTTATAATATACAATGTTCTCATTGTAAATAGGGGGTATATAGACAAAAATTACAATGTGGACTTTGATTTAAGTCAACTTAGTTTGAATCTTCACTACCTTAAGCTGCTTGGAAACCAATATGAGAAATCGTTACCAAGTTGTATGACTTTTATTATTGTCCCCTGTATATTAGACTTCTCATTTTACACTTCCCTCATTGTGACCTTGACCTATTAACAGGGGATGGTGGGGCATGATTTAAATTTAACAGAATCAATTTTTGAAGATAATCATAAAACTTTTAACAAGAGGCCCATGGGCCACATCGCTCACCTGAGAAGCTTTGACCATTCTGTTCTTTACCAGATTTCCCCCTTGTTATACATAATGCATCCCCACCCTACCCCAATGATCATAATTTAGACATTTTGAAATCTACACTACCCCAGGATCCTTCAATGGGCACATATGTCTCAGCTTTTTTGGCCTAGTGGTTCCTGAGAAGAAGATTTTCAAAGATTTTTCCTATATATTTCTATGTAAAACTTTGATTCCCTATAATGGCCCCGCCCTTCCCCCGGGGGTCATGATTCCTACAATTTAGAATTTACACTACTCCAGAATGCTTCCACATAAGCTAGCTTCACTTTTTCTGGCCCAGTGGTTCTTGAGAAAAGATTTTCAAAGATTTTTCCTATATACTTCTATGTAAAACTTTGATACCCCATTGTGGCCCCGCCCTTCCCCCTGGGGTCATGATTTGAACAATTTAAAATCTACACTACCCAAGGATCCTTCCACATAAGTTTCAGCTTTTCTGGCCCAGTGGTTCTTGAGAAGAAGATTTTCAAAGATTTTTCATATATTTCTATGTAAAACTTTTTGATTCCCCATTGTGGCCCCGCCCTTCCCCCGGGGGTCATGATGTGAACAATTTAGAATCTGCACTATACCAGGATGCTTCCACATAAGTTTCAGCTTTTCTGGCCCAGTGGTTCTTGAGAAGAAGATTTTCAAAGATTTTTCATATATATTTTTATATAAAAATTTTATTCCCTATTGTGGCCCCGCCATTCCCCCGGGGGTCATGATTTGTACAATTTAAAATCTACCCTACCTCAAAATGCTTCCACATAAGATTCAGCTTTACTGGCCTAGTAGTTCTTGAGAAGAAGATTTTTTTAAAGATCCAGCCCTATTTTTGCTTTTTCCTGATTATCTCCCCTTGCGAGAGGATATGTCCCTTCATTTTAACAATTTAAATTCCCCTTCACCCAAGGATGCTTTGTACCAAGTTTGGTCAAAATTGGCCTAGTGGTTCTTGAGAAGAAGTCGAAAATGTGAAAAGTTTACAGACGGACGGACAGACAGACGGTATGACAGACGGACGGACGACGGACAAAATGTGATCAGAAAAGCTTACTTGAGCCTTCGGCTCAGGTGAGCTAATTACTAAAAAAGAAGATGTGAATAATTCTTACATACATATATTTTTTTTAATCCAGTAAAAAAGAGCTAAATGTGTACATGCTGTAGGTTATTGAAAGACTTTTAAAAGAAGGTATTTAGTTGTGCCAGTTCAACTCTGCAACTATTTTAAACATATCAAACAAATTGTTATTTCCAACAGTAATTTTTCTTAGGTGTATAGCCACTAACCAAAAGGTTAGGGGTCATACAAAATGTTAATTTAGAATATTATTTTATTTCCCCTCATTTGCAATATTTGTTTATGTCAGAATCAAATCATGACAGCATTGAGATCTACCAGATGGCTTGGCTATCACATTATTGTTATTAATCCCTTGAAGTTTAATTAGTTAATCTCTTAGTCAATTAAGTTGCCTAATTATCTATATCTGAGGCACGACAGGTGTGACAACAATTATCACTCTACCTGTCCATGTCACCTACTCTTTCATTGACAAGACATTTGAGTAAATCACCTTAATTACTTAGATCAACTCAAAGGCAATTATATATGTATATGTAAAATGTTTAAGAAGTAAAAAAGTCAGAGGACAGAGAGTCAGAGTCAGAGATATAGAGTGTGTTAGCTAGAGTTAGGACATGCAGCTAGCAGACCCAGTCTTAGATATGTATTATATATAATGTACATATTCCTGTAATAAAGACTGATAAAGACATTTCTACTTATGTCTTAATCCTTGAAGGTTTTATGTCAAGGACAGTAACCAAGTCTAATGGTTACTGCGTGACCGAGTGTTGTAGGGTGCACTACTTATTCCAAGTGGACCCCTACCCTCCCCGACGGCCGGTCACAGGTTAGACAACAGTGAAAATAAGATTCCTTGATTTTCTCAATCATTAACAAAGTTTTATACAGTAGTGCATGTACCAGAACACATTTAATTACACAGGAAGCATATCAAACAAGTAGTTTTTGCAAATATGAATTCCTCTTTAACAATATAATATATAACAAATTTAAAACAATATAATCTAGTGTAGTCATTTCATTATTTTTGTTTCGGTTTCAATCTAATAGAAATAATTAAGATTTAAACTGTCAATTCATTGATAAACAGCATTTTTTAAAGGGCTTATATACAAAAAATAAGTTTTATATATATAAAAAGTAATGTTAATTAGCTTTCTGAAAAAATAAATGACCTAGGAATACATATCATTCTCCTTTAAACAGTTTCATGATAAGAGGAATTGTCAAAGCTAGAGCACCATACAAAACTGTCACAGATGCTAAACTTCCAATCTTTACAGTCCACTGAATATTGCTTTCAGTTTCACTTAACAAATCCTTGACCTCTGGTCCTACATACACTACATTATCAGCATTTGTCTTTGCTTTGTTAATTCCTGTCACTTTCTTCAAATCACCTAACTCCTTTATCAAAAGTTCATGATTACTTTTAATTCCTTTCAGAACATCAGAGATATTTTCAGAACTCTGCACATGAGCTGTAGCTTGGAGGTCTTTAAAACTTTTAGAGTCATTTGAAGCACCTCTGACTTCATTGAAAAATCCTCGGATCTCTTTCTGCTGGTCTTGTACCATCTTTATCAAGTCGTTGGTCATCTTTTTGTAGTCATCTGCGGATCCAGTTGCGGATAAAACTATATCCCTAAACTCTTTATTCTTGTGTCGATTGTAAATAAAATTAGCTAATAAACCTAAACCTACCGCAGCTATGGACCAACAAAGATAGTACAACTTAAAGTTTTCTGTCCTCAATCTCTCTTTTTCGTGGCTCTCACTCACTTTGGAATTGTAATAATCAAACGCTAATTTTTCCTCCTCTTCCATCATTTCTAATAGAGGTTTGACCTCATTTTTTCTTTTGATTATTTCGTTTTCTTGTATAGCCAGCTGCACGTATCTATCTGTTCCTCTTTCAGTTTGCATTATTTCTTTAACAACACTCTCCATTTCTTTCTGGATTTCTAAGTATTCTTTAACATTCTCTATTCTTTTCTTTTGTAGGTCCATGCATCTTTGACGAGCCTGTAACAAAAGCAGATATTAAATGAACACTGTATAATGTGTATACATACTAGATTCTAACCTCTTTAAAAACATTAGTACCCCTATATTATTGTTCAGTTGCACCAAAATGGGCTTAGCAGAGTACTAAATATTACATACGTATCATGTTCACTGACTGAAATATGTGCATGTGTACAGTACCGGTAAATTGTCTAATATGTAGACTATTCGCTCTATAAAACTTGGACAGATTGGGCAACGTTCTAACTAGACAAAATTTTTAAAATAATTGAATTTATAACATGTATAAGGCAAATTCAAATTCAAATTGCAATTGACAGTATAATAGTCTATTCTCTTTAGAAGTGGACAGGTTTTCACCTACATCCACTTCTCTTCACAATTTTTTTAACCTTTCATGCTATGATTCTGGAAAATGTGTAAAATGTAGAACCAGTGACGACCTACATGTAAACTTCAACAAACATCTCGTCTAAAATATGTATAATTTTACATAATGGACGTTTTTAACTAACAATTTGCAATGAGAAGTGCATGTAGACAAATGTCTGTCCTCTTCTCTAAAGAGGATATTATATTTGTCTTCTCCATCCATGCGAACCATTTATCGAACAGTTAAAGATGATCACACAGACTTAGGACTACTTACCATGTGTAACAATAATCAGACTTGTATAAAATACAGCTACAAACGCAGTGATTTATTCAACTAATTATATATCGTACTTAACCTTAATGGCTTCTTCCTGTGCTCTGCGTACTTCCGACAGCCCGAATTTGTCCTCATACCACTGTATTACGCTGTCAATTTTACCAAACGTGGCTTTGTCGGCTAAAGTATCAACTGCCTGGTAGCCTGTCTTGATTTGCCGTACATATATCACTTTTGATACGTGTTTAGGATGCACATGTTGCCGACACAGACGAAAGGGCAACATGATGCAAACCCAATTTTTTGAAAGTGAAAGTAGACTACTGAATATGTACTACGATCCCGACAACTTAAATGCAAGTGGGTTTTTTTTTTATTCATTACACACGGGATATTCTAACCTTAGTCTCAAAATGAAAAAAAAAATGAATATTTTATTTGCATAATATGAATTTAATAAGATGTGAATAATTTTTTTAATTTTTCAAAAGCAAAGCACTGTTAACTGTTGTTAAATATTTTAATTAAATTACTAGTGAAATTCGAACTTTGCAGTTATATGGTATCATCCCACTCCTCTTCAATGGGAACACAAATGAATGATTGAAAGAACTTTCATCAGTTTTAGTTTTTTTTTTTAATTTAGTATGTATAAAACTCGGATGTCTTACACACAAAGCTGTAAATTTATTATGCATTAAATTTTATCGTGAACGATACAAAATGCTTATAGAAAAGTTTTATTTAAATTATAAATAATTAGGCCTAATATTTTTATCACGTATTTAAACAAAACATTTCTTCCTTGGAGAAGGAATAAGGAAACAAGTGAGCAAAAAAAATTGTTTGAGGAATTTAAATTATACATAATATAGCATATATAACTTTCATGTGGTTTTCATTATTCTTCAAAAAATTCATTCAATATGAATTTCAACGTAGTAATCATAGACGATGAGTCGATGACACCTTGGTTTCATATAGAAGTTATTCCTCTTTAATGCAAGTTAATTTTCTGCTTAATATCCAGATTTCTTCACACAAATAGTGTAAAAAAGGTCATGGTCACTAAATTCTCTAGAATTCTATCAAACGATATATGTCTTGACATCTTTCTCATTTAAGATTATGTCTAAAGAAAAAATAATATTTTATTTACAAAATTATAGACTATTTTCCGCTAAAGGCTGGTTTCTAAAATATACATTTATTCATAGTTAAAATCTTGCAAATACATTATTTACAAAAAAAAACTTACAAAAGTGAAAACTTTTTACTTCCCATGTTAGGCATTCGATTCATTTTGTAATATTTTGCAATATTTCTTTCAAAGAAATTTCTAGAACAACGCACAATAGTGTAATAAAACAATTCTTGTTGCTTAGTTTAGTTCAGTTTAGTTTAGTTTTGTTTTGTTTTGTTTGTTTGTTTGTTTTTTGTATGGGTTTTTTTTTGTTTTTGTTTTTTTGTTTGTTTTTTGTTTGTTAAAGGTGCATGGACACAGTTTGAAGTTAATATTTTCTGTATAATATCACGACTTATATATTTTAATAGCATTTCACACAAAAATATATTTCAAATCTTATTTCACCGTAAAGTTAATGAAACTTCAAATTTTTGGATGGTTTTGATTTACACATTTTTGCACTCTCACAAATATCACTTTTATTCTTAATACTTAGAAAAAGTGGCAATCTTGTTGTGTATTAATGAAAAATATCAAAACTTCAATCCAGAAAAATAATTATATTAAGAGTAGAAATGTTAGAAGACAAAACCCCTTCACAAGTATCGTCATTCCGCGCTAAGTTGTGTACAGAGTTTAGCAAATTGATCACATCCTTGAAACGAACACAGTTTTTGTAAACAGGGCACAAGCTCTGTTATTGTTGATGTTTACTGGGAGCGTTCAATTGTTAAAGCCTGCTTATCACAACTGCACGGACTGACAATATACTTTGTGTATGTTTTGCTTTTGAATATTTCTATTTTGAATTTTTTGGATTGTAGTTTTAATGTTTTTTTATTTATACACAACAAGATTGCCACTTTTCCTAAGTATTAAGAATAAAATTAAAATATGTGAAAGTGCAAGGATGTGTCAATCAAACCCGTCTAAAAATTGAAGTTTTAATAACTTTTAGATGAAATAAGATTTTTGACATATTTCTGTGTGTAATGCTATTAAAATATATAAGTCGTAATATTATACAGAAAATATTAACTTCAAATCTGATGATATTTTAAATTCTTTCGATAGAATAATTTATTTCATGCATGTTCAACCAAGCATCTTTCTGTACTCCTTACTAAGAATATTAACAGTGGGGAAGGAGAAACTTCAAGAGTACTGTGCAGCAGTATATTCGAGAACTTGTGTAAATCAGATGTTGATACAGTACTTAAGTTTTCCAAGGAACTTTTGGGCTATTTGGAATCGCAAGATTTTACAAAAATCAACAGCTTGAAGACTTTTGACTTTTCAACTTTATACACAACCATTCCCCACGATAAATTAAAGTCCAGGCTTTTTTATATCATTGACGTCTGCTTTCTTAATAAAAATGAACTTGTAAATAAGGGGCGGGGGGGGGGGGGTATCTTATCTTGTCACCGGTCATTTGCAAAATTATTACCTTAAAAACATTCTGATTGTGCACACAAGTGAAGTTGATATCAAAAAGATGCTTGAGGTTCTGATTGACAATATCTATTAATTATACTTTCATGTTAAATACTAAAATCTGATTGGTTTAGACGCAGTTAACAATCCGTTCTATTACCCTCAAAAATGTGACAACGGGTAACACAATGGTTATGCTACATGATTGGATATTATGCTGATTGACAATATAAACTTGATGTCAATAAAAGGTTTTTAGAGACCAGGTCTTTCAACAATCGATTGGAATGCCAATGGGTACTAATTGTGCCCCGTTATTAGCAGAAGTATTTTTGTATTCCTATGAAGCAGAATTTATTCAAACTCTTATACGTGAAAAGAAGAAAACACTTGCTCTGGCCTTCAACTCGAGAATTAGATATGTCGACGACGTATTGTCAATAAACAATCATGGATATTTCCATTCTTATGTCGATATGCTATATCCCGGTGAGCTTGAGCTAAAACATACCACACATTTGACACATCTGTTTCATATTTGGATATTTTACTTGTAAAAGACGTTAATGGTAATCTAAAATCCAAGTTCTATAATAAACGTGATGACTTAAACTTTACGATCGTCAACTTCCCTTACTTATGCAGCGATATTTATATATGACATTTGCTGAGTTTTTCTAGTAAGCCAACAGTGAAATTGATTTGAAAACCATTAATTGTCTATATTTTCGATGCTTTAAGACACGAAAAATGTAAATATAGGGAATGTTTTTAAGTTTAGTATAAATTATTGGTGTGTGCATCGCATAGACTTGCACTTACATTGAACGCATATTTTCATGAAGTGCTAGCGCGCTTCATGAAATATGCCTACGTGGCAAGTCTGTGTGATTCACACACTATTAACTCACACAAAACTTAAAAACATTCGTTAGATATTACCTGCATACGGAGTTTATATCTCTCAGTTTACTCGATACACAAGAACATGCTCTACGTATGTACAATTTCTAAAACAAGGTAATTTATTGATAAACAAGTTGATAAAACAAGAATATCAGAAGTCTCGTTTGCAGTCATCATTTCGTAAGTTCTATGGTCCATACAATGTCCTTGTCAGCAAATACAATTTATCATTGAGTCAAATGCTGACAGACGTTTTTCATACTACTTGTTAAAGACGGATCTTACCGTTATTTCCATGACAAGGAGGACACGGCGGGTGTGACCGGTCGGCAGGGGATGCTCACTCCTCCATGGCACCTGACTCAACCTATGATGTTTCGGATGTCCGTGTTTGCTCTGTTCCTTTTTGTATTTCTTCTTAGACTTTCGAGCTTGAATACTAGTACTCTTCGTTATCACCATATATTTCATTTTCCTTGGATCTCAGACATTTACACATTTTTCGATTTTTCGATTAGTATTTGAAACAATATTCAAGTCAATAGATGTGTCGGTAAATATATTTTACGACTGATATTATATTAAAAACAAATAAGATTTATTGAATAACACATTAAAAAGAATATATACTAGTATATGAATACAATTAATAATCTTTCATCTACCTTCACAAACTTAATTTTAATTCACATTCGTAACATTATCAGGCATTTTATAAAATGTGTATATTTTTAAAAATCCAATAGTGTACATAAATGTTCTTTTCATTACAATGTTCAACCTAATTATATTAAAATGCAAAATAATAATGTTAACATGCTAATTTAAAATGAAAAAAAACATGCCATTTATTTTTCTAAGAACCTAAATACTAAAGATGCGTTGCGTTTTATAATTCACACGACAAAATACACTGTCTAACGCTTTAAAATGGTCATTCATTTTAACTCAATAATAGTTGCTTGTCAAAATAAAAAAAAAAATATTAAGCAAACATATTTTACATGTGGACACAAATGTAAAGGTTGCAAGTTGAAACATATCTGTATAAAATTATATTGCAGCTATAGGTAGGAATGTATTTATTTTGTTTCGTTTGTTTCGATTCTTTCTTTTTTATCATTTGATCATTGTTTTAGCATACAATACTTGGTGATGAACAACCGGTAAACACATCGCTGCCCATTTATAATGATGCAAACCAACTACATAATATGTAGTTTTCAGAACACATCTATAAACATGATAAATGCTTCGAAAAATCAGCAGTAAAATGTGATTGGTATTTGTATGACATAACAAGAAAAAAGATTTGTACAGATTTATAAAAGAACGATAATGGTAGAGAACTTTAAAAAAGGCTGCGCCTACAACCCATTTTTTTTTATCAATGAACTATAATTGCTAAAATAAAAGAAATATTAATGGGAAAATATATCTTGTACGATGTTTTGTGAAAATTGAATTAATTTTCATCTGGCTTAAACAAAACCAAACACAGTAAATGAAATAGAAGAAAGACCTATAGATAATTCACAAAATTTACTTTTATGTGTATCTTTTTCGAGCTATGATAGCCATGTTCTATTAATAATGTGAGATCTATAATATTACTGAATGATAAAACTTTTAGCTACCACTGCGGTCTCTTTTGCTCAGGTGTAGCAACCGCCAATGATATAACCCCGCTTAATGATACAAATATCATTAAGCGTTGCAACTACAACGCTTTATGCCATGAATTATTGCTTTAATGGTTGCTAATGCTAAATAGCCGCTTAATGAAAGAATTATATTATTATGCTTATGAGAATGTCAACTATTAATGCAATGATTTATGACATTAAGCGTTGCAATACAACGCTTAATGATTTTTGTATTATATCTAAGCGGCGTTATATCATTAGCGGTTCCTACAGTCGAGTCAAACGCTAAATTTCTACCGTTTTGCTCGGGTAACTCTCTGACATTTACACACATGGGAAAACAGTTTTGAACCAGATTGCTTTCGAAGTAAATGCTGAAGGAAAATGTTTTGAAATGAACCCGTTTTTCCCCGAGCTAATTGTATATAAAATAGCATATTTCTCTTAGATGGATGAATTTTTCCCCCGATATTTTTGTATACAATTAATCTTATTGATTTTCAATGACAATAAAACTTTTTGATTTCATCAAATGAATATAGACCGGTATGGTTCTTTAATAATCAAAAAAAAATACTGGAATTCTTGAACAATATGACAAAGTTTACACTATTTGTTTTTAATTTCAAAAAGAAAAAAAGGGGGGCAAACAAAAACGAAACAAACAGAAAGATTAAAAGAAAAGACCCCCCAAAATTGGTTAGAATCAAGGAATAAACGAATGATATGTACATTTATAAAAAAAAAAATTATACTATTTATGCATAAAAAATGCTTAATATTTTTTAACATGTCTGAAAATAATCCAAACATTTACTATTTACTGGTGATTGCAGTTGAGCTCGTCTGGACCAAATATGGTTCGAAGAAATGTTTCTTCAGTTTCCGGTATTTCTCTCTCCTGTTTTTGTTGCAGCAGCAAATGATCATTAAGAACGTGTATCTGCATTCTGTGTACCTCCAAACATACAGAAATGGGTTAATAAAGGAATTCAGAAGAACGAGAAGTCCTGCGAAACTCTGCCACGTCAGTATAACCCTCTTATTTGATGGATCCGTGTTAATAATATCAATAATGTTTATTATAATCATTGGGGTGTAAAGTAACATGAAACATCCGAGAATGGCTGATAATTTGATTAAAATTCTTGCCTGGTATTTGAACTGTTTTTCTCTAGTCAGAGTCTCCAAACCGGAAGTAGCTCCTGATATCTTGTACATTTTGATGAACATTAACATGTAGAGTACAACGTCAACAACAATTAGAAAGCAGAAAATGGCAGTCACGGTAAGCAGTCCAGTTTTGCCCCTTACGGTGTATTGAGCACATATGACAAAATCTTGATACTGGTACGCTTGGAATCCATCAAAGAAGTTCACTGCTGTGAGAATCAAACCAGTAAACCAAATTCCTAAAATTATACCCAGACTTCTTTCTTTGCCAAGCAGAACAAGGTAACCGAATGGAAAATACAACGCAACAAAGCGATCGACAAGCATGCCAGTAATTGTTAGAAAAGACACAACCACCCCAATACAGTAGAAATACATCAAGAACCGACACAGACCCTCTTCTAACATCGTTGGTAGAAAGGCATCTATCAATATGGCCACCCCGGTCATTAGGTCGGTTACAGCCAAATTAATAGACATCAGCCTGATTTGGTGGTTCATCCTTTTACACTGTGCAAGAATAAGTATTGCTGCTAAGTTAATCAAGGCAATAATGAGTCCTATTAAAGACGGCAGAACTGCCTGTTGAAGGACAAGGGTACTACGTCTTGTTTCATTGGTATCCATTTTGAAATCTGTCTCTTCCTGTTGGATGATGTCCATTTATAATGACAACTGGGAAACTGGGATCGGATAAGTTATGATTCAAACAGCTCAATCTCCAATCTACGTACCTTCTTAATCGACTTTTATTGACTGTGATGCCCTTATTCTCACAATCCTTTTTGTTAATTATTTGATTTTAATGGAATGATTTTCTTTCATGTGCATTGTTTTATCTGAAATAAAGCAAGATAATCTCATTGTAAGTTACGTATCACACTGATGGATGTTAAATTTACAGGCAATGTATTTTTCGCTTTGACTTTCTTCTCATGATCTTCTTTTGTTACAGATCAACTAGAATCCGTAACACATGACTGAGTTCAATAAATATTATAGAAAAAGATTATAATGACAAGATGAAATGAATGAAGGAAAACGTGCACCATAATTCATGATAAATAAAATATATATAATCCACATTAAAGAGTGCGAGATAATTTCTATCAGTATCATGCACTTGTATCGAGAAGGGTATTCTTTTTTGTTTTGTCGATGTCAAATATTTCTTTTCAAAAGCAAAGTCTTAAATAACCTATTGCATAACATTTAACATCATAATAATTGTTGGGATATATTTTGTAAAGATTTATTTTTAGAAATAAGGCAATTCGTAACAACTTGTAATCAGCTTTATTTTATTTCCCGTTTTTAAAGCAAATCCTTCCTGTTTTTTTTTTATGATAGATGCGTTATAGTATTTAATCTATCGCATTCTTTACATTATATATGACTTTGTTGATTGTAATCATAAAATTTTCCTTAATGAAGTCACTTACCCTTTAACCAGCATGACTAATAGTGTTATCCACTTAAACCCATCAATTTGAGAACAAATTCAACAATATTCAATTGCTGAAAATACAGAATTCAAATACTTACCGCATCACCTCCACTTACAAATGTGTAAAGTTTTCGTTTTAAAAATACGGACGTAAACAATGTCATTAAATGTCAGCGAAATATTTATGTAAATTATTGTTCAAATTACATTTTACAGGCCATGCATGTGAATGTCTTCAAGTAAAAAAAAAAGTGTTATCTTTTAATCTTAATGGTCTTGTAAAATAAATGCAGGACAAGAGATAAAATGGTACAAGGCTGTTTAAACTTATCTCAAGTCAGAATCTTTCATTAAAATCGCATCTGGACTCTGAAAAAAAATATCAAGATAAAAGTGCACCATATTAAAATATCTTCTTCGGGCAGAATTTTATAGCAGGTGACCCAAATCGAGAGAAAAAAACATTGTTTACCTTATAGAACAAATACAAGGACGTCTCAGCAGAAGTAAGACTTCTCTCTATTACTACATGACAGCATACAACTACGCAATTCAGCTTAAACGTCCCAGTGCTTTTTGCTGACTTTTTAGGTCACCTGAGTAACTCAGGTGACCTATTGCTATCCGTTTTCGTCCGTCGTCGTGTGTCGTGCGTCGTGCGTCGTGTGTTAACATTTGAACATTTTCAGCTTCTTTTCTGAAACCACTGAACCAATTTCAACCAAATTTGGTATACAGCATCTATGGGTGAAGGGGAACAAAAGTTGTGAATTTTATGGTCCCAGCCCCCCTGTGGCCTGAGGGGTAGGGCCAAAACCACTAAAATTATTGCAATCTTTAAAAATCTTCTTCTTTACTCCTGGACATCAAGCAGGCAAACTGTTGGCATGAATGAGCATTGAGTCCTCTACCAAAATTGTGAAATTCATGCATGGCCCCAGGGTCAGGGGTTCTAGTGTTAGGGCGGGGTTATATAGATTATATAGTGAAAATGCATGATTTCTTTGAAAATCTTCTTCACTGCTCCTGGGTATTAAGTAAACTAACTAAGTACATAGTTATGATGAGCAAGAGTGCCTCTTCCAAAATTGTGTATTTTATGGCCCCAGGGTCAGGGGTTCTGGTGTTAGGGCGGGGCTCTATTGATTATATAGTGAAAATGCATTAATTCTTTGAAAACCTTCTTCTCTGCTCCAGGGTACTAAATTAATTATGTAAGTACATAATTATGTTGAGCAAGAGTGCCTCTTCCAAAATTGTGAATTTTATGGCCCCAGGGTCAGGAGTTCTGGTGTTAGGGCGGGGCTCTATTGATCATATAGTGAAAATAAATTAATTCTTTGAAAATCTTCTTCTCTGCCCCTGGGTATTAAATAAACTAACTAAGTACATATAGTTATGATGAGCAAGAGTGCCTCTTCCAAAATTGTGAAATTTATGGCCCCAGGGTCAGGGGTTCTGGTGTTAGGGCGGGGCTCTATTGATCATATAGTGAAAATAAATTAATTCTTTGAAAATCTTCTTCTCTGCTCCTGGGTATTAAATAAACTAAGTATATAGTTATGAAAAGCAAGAGTGCCTCTTCCAAAATTGTGAATTTTGTGACCCCAGGGTCAGGGGTTCTGGTGTTATGGCGGGGCTCTATTGATTATATAGTGAAAATACATTAATTCTTTGAAAATCTTTCCTTTGCTCCTAGGTTTTATGCCAATGATCTAAGAATATATATTTATGATGAAGAAAGGTGCATCTAGCAAAGTGGTTTTATATGCCCCCCCTCCTGGGTCGCGGGTACATAGTCTGAAAATAAATTAATGCTTTGAAATCTGCTCTTTGATATTAATCAACCATTTTATGATAAAATTTGCAAAATTTTGAAATATGTGGCCCCAAGGTCAGTGGTTCCTTTGGGATGATGTGCATAAAGCGGAAGTGCATTTTCTCTTTGTTACTCTGATCTATCTTTGGGTATTAAGTAAACAGAGTAAGCATGCTAAGTCTATAATTATGATAAGCAATGGTGCTTCTTTCAAAATTGTAAAATTGCGAATTTCATGGCCTCTGGTTTAAAACACGAACCAAATTTAATTGTTTGAAAGTTGTTGCACAATACTCAGGTGACCTATAAGGCCCGTGGGCCTCTTGTTATTACTGCATGACAACATTTCAATGAATCAATATAAAATTGACAAGAAATACAAATAATTTAATTTTGGTTGTAACGCATCATTTGATTGGATAAAAAATTAATCTAAATTGTATAATCTGGTTTGCCTATGTCACGATGACTTACGTCAAAAATGTATTAATCCGCTTGACGTTACGTTTGAAATATGAACAATTTGAAGGCGTTTGTTATGGAGAAGTTTTCTTGTTTTATGTACTTAATGATTGAAAATAAATTATAAGGAATGAATTAAATAGCAACCCACATTATACTGCTATAACCAGGGTTGGAGCCGTTTACGCTTTTTATAAACCGTAAAGTGCCCCAACCCAGGTTATACAGTATAATTTGGGTTGCTATTTAATTCATTCCTAAATGAATCAACTTAAAATTGAAATCACAGACAATGCTTCAACTTTAATTGACAAGATATACAATGAATCAACTTTAGATTAATAACATATACTATGAATCAACTTTAGATAAACAACATATTCAATGAATCAATTTTAAATTGACAACATAATTTATACAATGAATCAACTTTAAATTAACAACATATACAATAATTTAAAATTTACTTCGAATTACTAGTGTTATCATCTGCAATGATTCAAATATGATCGATTTGACAACATATACAATGATTTTTCATTGAATGACAATGCATACAATTATTAAACAATGAATAAAAAACATATATACAAGGATTCAATATATCACAGATGGTGAAAAATCGGCTCAACCGGGACTCGAACCAAGGGCCTCTGGCGTACCGTGCTTTAACCTCTGAGCTATTGAGAGTCAATATATTGACTGACCTGTAAACCCGATGAAAATGCATACACCACCTGTGACAAACATATTCAATGTGTCGAAATTAAGGCATTTAACTTTACAATGACAATATATAAAAAAAAATAAAAATGCGAACATCTGACAAACCCATGGTGGGCAGAAGTAGACTTAAGGGGTTTCCTCCCTTTTTGTTACGTAATCGTTTCTTCACGTGCCTATGGTTAATCATAGTGTGTAAAATACCGACGCATTTCCAATGGTTTTGGAGCACCTCTTTAACAGGTTAATAACCTGAGAGTTCAATTTATAAAATGAATGCATAATTTTAAGATAACTGGTAAATCCCTGTGGTATTTAGGTATTGATTCAACCTCCTCTCGCATAATTAAATTCTTCAGAGCCTATTTTATATCGAACCCTCTCTATGGTCTTTCATATATATATTTTTGGTTATTGACTGGAGAATGATATTATCTAAGCGCTTAAGAAAAACAATCAGAATACACTTATGCAAGTGATTATTTATCAGGAGAAGAGGACTCCAGATTGGTTTGTCTGAAGATTGTCATAGGGCATATCAACTTAAAATAATTCATTAAATTTTTGAATTCCCATACTCTGCCCTAATGAGACAAAGAATCGGACCAAAGCTCAAGTAATCAAGTGTTTTTCTCTCGGGTTTATCCTTTGAGAAACAAATTGATAAAGATTCTGTTAGCTAGTGCTGCAATTTGACACTCCTTTTTGCATATTTTCAATAGTTTAGCTTGATATATGGAGATGATATCGTGATAGGATTTGCTACCTGAGGAGGCTCAAAATTGAACTTTGGCAGACCAATAACTTTTGTAGGTATGTATAACATTAAAAGTATATTTAATAAATCATACTTTTATGTAATTTAGTATAAAAATATCATGGTTGATCTTTAACACAAAATTTAAGGCATTTTAAATTTTAAGTTTCAATAGTCTTTATGTAACTTTCAACTCACTTAGCAGTTCTTTAATTGGATTGTAACGAATATTTATCCAAGTATTATCCGAGATCTGCTTTCCACTGAACATCATATATACCATGTTTTATGACTTGAATCGACACTGTGGAAGAATAGGATTATATATATTTTTTATTCTTATTTGTTCATCAGTTATTTTGGTTACTTAGAATGTTATTTTCTGTTTCTAATTAGCTCAGTAGTTATATTTATTTTTTAAACAAAAGAGTGGGAATCGTTTGCAATCTTGAATACTAGTACTATCACATTTAATTTAACATTTCTTTGAATTTCCAAAATGTCTGCACTTTACTTATTTTGTAAGATCTAATTTGTCTATACATCCTAAAATTAACTACAAAGAATTAAATGGTCAAAAGGAAATATGTAGGTATGAATAAGACATTTTTGACAAATTTGATTTATAAATGAAGAATTCGAAAAACATTTTTCTGTATATTTTTAGCTTCCAATGTGTATCTAAGATCGGACAACTTTCGTCATGAAGATGAAACGCTTTTTCATTACACTCATGTTAATTACATTATGCAAAGCTGGTAACAGATCAGAGTTATTTGAAACACTTTTCAAACAATATGACCCAGATGCCGGTCCTTATGACAATGCTTCCTTTCCACTTGATGTCTCAATGTCCGTCTACTTGCAAAAGATTCTCGATGTCAAAGCAAGAGATCAATCTTTCTCTTCAACGTTTTGGTTTTTCATGTCGTGGAAGGATGAAAGGTTGGAATGGAATCCTGAGATGTACAAAGGAATAGACAGTATTCATACAACGTCTAGTAAAGTTTGGAATCCAGCCTTTGTTTGTATTGTTAATGACATTGGTATGGAAAGTTGTTTTCGAGAAGGTTCTACAGTCTCAGTGCTACACACTGGAGAAGTCATATTTTCTAAATCGTTAGACGGTGCCACACAGTGTAACATTAACGCAAAGAAATATCCATTTGACGTCCAGAAATGCTCTATTGACATAGGAAGCGCATTTCGCAGATCAAATGTAATATTTTTTAACCTAACTTCTTCATATTTCGGTCTAGACTTGTACTCAAGGAGCGAAGAATGGGAAGTGTTGGATACATCGATTTCAAAATATTTCACGCTAGAAAGTCATGATATGATCTTTGAAGGGCTCCAGTTTGAAATCCTTATCAAACGACGGCCAACTAATGTAATTGTTTCTTACTTATTGCCTGTGTTGTTGCTGTCCATTGTTAACCTATGCTCTTTCGTACTGCCGATTGAATGTGGAGAAAAGATGGGAACCTCTGTCGCCGTTTTTCTGACGTTTGCTGTATTCCTCACGCTTCTCAGTGAATCCTTTCCGGTTTCGGAGGACACCCCTCTTTTCACTATTTATCTCACGTTTCAGCTTGTTCTCAGTGGTCTTGTAATTATCATGGAGACATTTGTGTTGAAATACCACATCGACAAAAGGAACTGTCTTGAAGTTGGCGTACTCATGGACGGGATAGATGAACAAAAAGAAAGGCCCAAGAAATCGCTGCGAAACAAGATGACCATTAAACGCCTCGATAACTTAATGATGATTCTCTACATTATATTGAATTTGATTTCGTTAATTACTTTTCTAGCTGGTACTCAGCAGTAAAGATACTCTTTTCCAAATATTTAAGAGATCCTGCCCATTACTTATTTAATGTAAAGAATTCAAACTCATTATGGATCATGTTTATGGAACATACCTTAGGTTGATACATGTATGACTGTGCTTATTTATATTTTGTAAAATAAAAATGTGCAAGTAAAATGATGATTGACATTTTAACTTCTATGTACTTGTTATAAATCCTATCAAAATTACTTTTTTTCGCTAGGATCCTTTATTGTTACGTTATGATGAAGAATGTGAATAAATTGCAAATATTTAAATGTTGCTCCAAATAAAGTCATTTAAACGAACAAAAAATAGAGTTGAATTAAGGTTTTTATTTACTCGTAGAAATTAAGAATTTTTAACTTATCTTTGGCATATCCGTTTATTTTTCTTCGGTGTTTAAGTTTTTCGTTAAACATGCTTGATGCGAATATCCCGTTTGCCAGCTGATTTTTGCTACTTTAGTACGCATGCTGTTTATTCAAAGCTCTTATGGAGATGCCACTACTTGCCAGTGGAGGGCTGTGAATTAATTTCAATAATCTGCACTCAGTATCTTTAGCACTGAAGGACCATTTTCTGTAAAAACCTACTGCAACACAGGACCTAAAGGTATCCATTCTTTTCTGGAAGGACCGGTCTCCAGGCCCCGCAGTGGATTCAAACCTGCGAAGTAAGGATCAGTTCCTTACTCTAGAAGAGAGGCCTAATCAGTGCACCACGTGGGCAATTAGTACTGTTTCTTTGTTAAGTTTATAAATAAAAATTTCAGTAAATCAATTTGTCATATAAATTTCAGTTTCAATTTACGAAATTAATGTATTTTTATTAGATTATTTATAATTTTGAATACGTGATTTTTGTTTTGCTAATAAAATCACGATTCAATTTTAGTGATTGTGAGCATATTAACAAACTCAATTTCAGTTCATAGGATAATAATCTTTCTCCTAAAATATTGTTAAAGAAAATGTCAATTGTAATATTAATAATATTTGCGCAAATGAACTTCCCAATTCTTTACATACTTCTGTGCATTTCCCTTTGGAATCAGAGCATGATTGATGATATTTCATATCACAACTGCTTAGGTGTAAATAAGATCGTTGACTGGAATTCTTACTCACCACATTAGTCGCCTTGTTTTTGTTGGTTCTTCAAAGAAAGAAAGTTGGCTCGCATTCAGTAGCTTGTTTTGAAAACAATAGGCGTTCCTAGAATGAGATATCAGTTTAGTTGCGTGAGTAAGGGATTTTTGTCAAAAGGGTTGTCGCCGGAAAGTGAGTATCAGTTATTAAATATCATTTAATTATTCATTTATTCTAAAGCTACAAGTAGATGATTAAACTATAGATTTTTATTCGCTTAAATTTTCCAACATTTGTTCATGGAATTTACATTTATTTAGCAGGTTTAGAAAAAAATGGACTGAAATAAAATCAGATAGAGTCAAAATATTTCTCCTTAAACGACCTAAATTGTTAAGTACATTACAAATTCTTTAGCCTATAGGAAATTATTTTAGGCATAGATCTAATTTAGGAACTGTATGGCTGTATTCAGTAATTTTTGAAAACTAAAGGTTATAATTTTAAACCGATTATATCGTTTAGTTTCATACAAAAAAAAAACCTATCAGAACTAGTAATGTTGGCAATCCGTCACTTAGATTTACAATTAATTGTCCAAACTACTTCATAATGCATATTCAGAGTCACTTCAATTTAGTGGAGTCTACTGAAGTTGTCCTTTTGCAGTAAATCGTACAAAATGTCAATTATCGACCACAAGCATTTAAAATAATCAAATTTAATAAAATTTGATAAAATAAAGAATTTTTTTTCACTTTTCTTCAAAATTTAAACAACGGTGAAGGAGAAAATTCAAGATTGAATTACAACAATATATGTTAATCAGATTTGGATACTTTATGAACAATGGTTCCATTGAAGTTTTAAAAAAATACGTCTTACAAAATTTTACCAAAATTGATTAAATATTAAAATTAATTAACATCAACACTTCACACAACCATTCCCTGCAAAAAAATTTTTTTTTTTGGATACATATACATGAAACCCTATCGTTAGTTTTCCATTGCCATCGGTCTTTTGCATTTTTCTGTTTCCAAACCTTCCGACTGTAAATTTCATATTAAAAAGATGTCTGAGTTTCTGATAGACAATATCCATGTTTTACACACAATAAATCTTCTTACAACCTGTTGCGACTCCTAAGGATACTAATTGCACCCCTTATTAGCCTATCTATTTAATTCATATTAAGCAAAATTATTCACAAAATTCTGACAATATTTTTTTTGCTATTGCTTCAGTTAGACAATTAGAAATGTGGAAGACGTTTTATCAATTATATATTCATTTTTGTTTTTACTTTGACTCGGTTTATACGGTCTCATCCGAAGGACCAGTCTCCTTGTCTCACAGTGGGATTCGAACATGTATAGAATTAGTAAAGTGTCTTTTTAAAAAGTTGTATATGATAATATAATTGCATAAAATAAATATAGTATATGTACCAGGACTATCCCCCATTCTCCTTAATTCATTTAAGTTCACGACTAGATTTATTATTAGATCAGATTATATTTTAAGGTAGAAAAACAGTTGACAACTCAGCTTGCATAAAATCTTTGTTGTTGTTGTTGTAAAAGAGTGAGTGATTTTCAGAAATCTGTAATATAAGCAGATCAGTATCAACAGCTTATCCACGAGGATTTCAGAAAGACGATATCTGAACTTAAATTGAACTGAAATTGAACTTTTAACCTACCGATAGGTGTTTTATCATCAACCACGAAATTAATGTATTCAAATAGGAAAAACCATTATAGAAGACATCAAGAGAGTAAATGCTTAAGTTACTTTAATTAAAGAGCTGATGGACGGAATAATAGAATAAAAATACATTTGCCAGGTGTATAGCTCGAACCCTGATTATGTTTGTTTATCTTCGAATTTTCACATCATTGTTGCTTTAATATACATTGGGTAATGTATCTTCATCAACAAAGACAAGGCGCATTCGATTTGACAAAAATGAATAGAAGTCGTCAAATTTATACCATATAATGAACAATTACTTGCTGAAAGATACAGAACATTAAAGAAAATCACTTACTTTTTGAAATTCTTTAATATAAGTAGAACATTAATAGATTAATTATCAAAACCTTGTTTCCGTTAACAATTTTTAGAAAATATAAAAATGACATAACTATATATGAAAGTTGTAAACTCGCATCGCATTCAAGTAAAGTAGTTGAAGTTTAGGACCTACAAAACGGTAAGACAGCTTCATCCTCTTATAAGTTTAAATGAAAACGGGTTTTGTGATTAAATAGAATAGGAGTAGAGAAAAGTTTTGACATGTTTAGCATAAAAGTGGTTACGTTTTGGTGTTTTCAGCCTTCAGATGGAGTGTAATTTGGTATAACAATTTTTTACAAACGAATATGATATTTAAATCTTTTCTAAGACTTGAACAAGACATGAAATATATTATGTTCTATCTTCAAAATAATAATTGTTATTTTACGAGTAATTATAGTAGAATACAAAAGCTTGATTTGAACTGACGGATGGATTGCAGAAAATTCACGCGAGTTTATTGCTTGTAGAGGCGATTGTTAAGGGTTAGAAGTTGGATAAAATACTAGTATACAGAATTGTTTTAAATGTGTCTAGAATTAGGGAGTTAAAGGTAAATGATTTACTGACAAAACGTTAAACAGTTCTTTCGCCCTTAATTGCATATTTTTGCATTTTGTAATGGTCAAAGAAAAATATAAAACCACAAGTTTTCTTTTAAAAAAGTTGTTAGCAATTTTTAAACAAATAAGTGATTTATTTTGAATACTTTATTGTTTATCTTGGCTGGAGTGTGATAAAGTTATAATTTTTTTTTTGTTGCATTTTAACATTAAATAAACTGGTGTTGACATTTTTTCGAATGTGAAGTACCTTGCTCTTTTCATCTTTGTTTATAACACATAAGATTTTTTTGATATAAATAATGGATTTGTGTAATTTTAATGTAAATCCTTGTGTTTGGTATTTTTTGCAGGCCTACATTGCCGTGATTGCCATCATATAAATATACTTTTACTGTGACTTGGCAAGGATGAACCAGGAAACCACTAGGCTAAGGTTAGAATAGTAAAACATGTTTTATGAATCAATGGAGAATTGTGTTAATTGAGAGAAAAAAGAATGTTAAAATATGAAGTCTGTATGTCCTATGGTTCAAAAGTTATGGTGCAAGTTGGATAAAGCTATTTTTAGCATATGTAAATACAAGGTGATTGATCTTGGTGTCATTTTTTACGAGTGTGTCTTTTTATTTATTTCTTAATTATATATAACAAAACAAAACAAAAAAAACCAGTTAATCATTTACACAAAAATAAAAAGATTGAAATGATACACATATATATCATTTATTGCAATTTTGCAATAGTTATTTGTCAGCATACATTTTTAAAAATTGAATGTCGTTTATTTGCTCGGGTTTTTCCGTACAATAGACGGAAGCCAAATTGAAAGTGGAAATTATCATGTGTATCGTAAATTTTTCCGAGCAGTTTCCCGCGTGAATGTCGTTTTTTTTTTTTTTTTTTTTTTTTTTTTTTGCTCGGATTTTTCCGTAAGATTGGCTGAATCGACCAATCAGAAATTAGAGTTTATTTTGTGCTTAGACGCAAAAAAAACCCTCTTCGTTTTTGTTTGGAACAATCAGATAATTACTCCCAGGACGGGCTTTTCCGTCAAGAAAAAAGGAAAATTTGCAGTTTTACTAAAATAAATAAACAAAGTTATTTAATGATATAACGAAATTGTTATTGAACGGTCTATCTTTAGTAGTTTTCACAGTTCTCCCAGAATGCACCACCGTGAAGTCGAGCATGCGTATTCCATCAATTTGGACTAACGTAGTTGCTAGCGCTCGAGAGCGCTAGCAATAACGCTTCAGTTCTGCTGCTTAGGTCTCTGAAATATATAATTTAATAAAATTTGAATTTGATCAATTAAATAAAAGAGAAAATATCAAAGGGCATACTAAGTATTGCGACACGTCCATCTCGAGATTTTTTTTACCCTCATGGAGACGTCTCTAGCTACTGGTAAAATGCTTTAAATCTTAAAGTAATTATTTCATGAGTAAGAAGTTGTTGGCAACATGTCTTAAAGTTGGAAAAATGGCATTTTTTAACATGTTTAGAGCTCCATAGTTAACATTTGCGGCAAAGCAAACAATTGGCAATGACTGTTTCCAAAAGTTGAAGGTCAGATGTCTCAAATGCATGATAAACATGTTTGGTAAATCAACTATTACATACGTTACTATGGTAACAAAGTATTCAAAAGTAAAAAAAATATTCATTGAATTTTATAAAGTCATACACGTAAAAATAAAAAGCAATTATAGGATGAAATGTGACCAAATAATAGAAAAAAGAGTCTTAAAACATATACCAAGAACAAAATATGATATTTCATTTTGGTTGGCAATGGTTGCCAAGGTTTTTATACCACAGAGAGCCTTCAAAGTAACACTCTGCATGTTTAAATCTGATGCTATCTTTTAAAAAAAAGCACATTTCCTCATAACTAATGATCAATTTTTAAAGATGTTTGTATGCTCCTAGTTTTCCAATTTGAAAAAATTCAAATTAGATTTTTTAAATAGAGCGTTGCTATGGAAATAAGCAGAAAATATATGCTTAAAAACCTGGAAAATATTTTCTTTCCTTGGATACATACCCTTAAATGTAGATTCCCAAAACTTTTATGGTTGATATTTATTAACAGCTTACCTGACTTTTAATTTTAACTATCATCCAATCTCTAAGTGGATGCAAGAAGTTGGCAAACAGGGTTTAATATTGATATAAAGTTCACAAAATCGAACATTTTCCCTTCTTGGTAACCATAGCAACAGTGTTGTTTTCTTCATCAAATTTTATCAATATATGATATTCAACTTCAGTTCTAACAGATAAGTACTATTCAAGCTGAGTCCTTTAATTTGTTTCTTGGTTAAATGGCAATTTAATTCTTAATGCAGCAAAAAATAATTCACTTTTAAGCACTGGTATTTTGTTTCCATGGTTACACTGCAAAATAGCAATTATACCGATTTTTTCTTATGGTTTTGGTGTTGCAAGGTCCTAAGGATGCATATTTGCCAGTCTTGAATTTTCATGTTTTTCCTCAAGACAGTAACATTAACCCAATCTTAGTTACTGGTTTTGCATGGTTACACTGTGTTACCATGGCAACCATAAAAGTTATTTATAGAATAATATTGCTTATACTTATATACTTAAGGTCAAACATTTTCATTGTTTTTCTTAAGTCGTTGATTGAGTTTGACCATGTAACACTTACCATTAGTGAATACGGAGTGTTTTTCAGCATATTTCAGCAATTTAAATGTATTCCAAATGTACCCTTGGTACCCACTTACTTGGAGATATATTCTAAACAGTTTCTTTACAGTATAAGTGACATCAAGGTGTCATGTTTTTGTGAGAATGGTTTGTTTGCTTTTTCTAGTTTTTATGAAGCCACAGTCAAGATTCAAAGTGGCGGAAAATCCCGATTTTTCAAACTTTTCCGACTGTTGCCATAGCAACCGAGACACATAGCAACGAAATTTTGTTTGATATTTGTTTCTGGTGTCAAGTACTAAGCATGGGTGAAGTTTCATCAAAATCAGTGACCATGCGTGGCAACAAAGTTTAAGTGATTACAGAGAATGGCTATTATATATAGTGTAATGTGAAAGAATTTTAAATTGTCAAGTAAAAATGATATCAATGAATTTTGCAATATTCGTTCAAACATCGGGTATATTTATTTCATATAAAAGATACAAACCCCACCCCAAAATTCATTTGACGCTTTCATTTTGAGAATCAATTCAATTCCATGATTTATTCAAAAATTTCATTATCATACCACGATCGATTTTACAAATAAAACTATATTTTTCCCCAAAAAAAAATAAAATTGCTAGTATCAGAAATTAGTAAAATACTCAGTAAGCAAGCTTTCCTAATATTATCACTCCACAGATAGATCTACTGTGATATAGAATATTTATCAAAGTTACAATTAATAGAATTGAAGTTATATCAACATTAGAGAAATATCCAAGGAAATTATGCTAAATAAAAGAAATAGCTGTGCGATCGGTATACCGATAAAACTACAGTGTATACACATCTATTTAATTAACTTGCCTTGATTTAGATTGAAGTAGTGATGCTTCTGAATACACATAGACGTAAATGTATTGCTGTCATCTTTTCTGAAACGAATATGGACAATTGATTTTTTGAAATATTTTAAATTGTCTCTAATAAATTGATGGTTTTTATCATTATGATGGGATTTATCTTTGAATAGATTATATGGGCGATACCTTGATCATAGGCCTACGAACGAAGATTTGAATCTCCCCCAAGTACGAGGGAGAAAAATTGTTGGAAATAGCTGAAAGATTGAAGAACATAACCAAACTGTAAGTGTAAACTTGGTATTTTATTTTGATAGAATTTTATAGATTTTATGGAGTAAAATTAATAGACAACTAACAATAATGCGTTAATAAGAAAAGGAGAAAAAGACTGCTCAGTGAGCTCAAAGATTCCCTACGATAAATCATTTTAAAGTCTATTTTTTGTCTTCCTCCAGTCATGTATACTCAAGAAATTAAAAGAAAATATTACCATTTTTAAATTATGGAAATTTCATGTTGTAAAACTTCATATTTACGGAAGAGATTGTCTTCTAGATTGTTAAATGTAAAATACATTACTTAAATAAATTGGAATCTATGAAAAAAATTACTTAAACCTTTTATATAAAAGTTTATCTTTATCTTTTATATATTTCTTTATTTATCTTTATCAATTTATCTTTATATATTTATATACTTCTAAAGAAAATTCGTTAAACATATTGTGAACAGTTTTAGATTGCGAAAAAAAATTAAAAAATTTTCATACAATCTAATAGAATTTTTTAACTTTAAGGTGATAAAAGAAATTATTTTGTCATTTGAACAAAGGAGTTACATAAGTTTAAATATACCGAGTTAGGGCATACTTTCACAAGTAAGAACTTTACTTTCAAGTTGGAACTATTAAAAGATTTTACCTTGTTACATTGGTAATCTGATTATATTACTGACACGAGATCAGTCAACAAACATCTATAGTGCATATGTAAAGATTCTATGTGTTTTCATAATACTCATTTTAAATCACAATAAATAGACTTTTCTAACTTGATAGTGTATATTCTACTTGATTAAAAGTATTTGCTTTATCATCTCTTTTGATAACATACGGGGATAACAAACAGTAATAAAGATCAAAAGTCCATTATATATCAGGATGAATCAGGAGCAGAGCAAACTCGGACCTCTACAATAATCAGACATGAGATCAGGTGCCATAGATGAATTACCTTTCCCTGATGACTGTTCACACCAGCAGTGTGCTCCTTGTCATTACTGGAAAATCGGGAAAATTCGTAGACAATTCAAAGCTTTAATAATTGCTAATGTCGGCCAGCATTACACTTAATGATACATTGATTTTGCTGACTAGATCATTGTATCGACCAAAGAACTTGTGAAATGAAGGCTTTAAACAAGTTTGTCATATATTGTTATTTTAACAAACTGTCAATAATTTGCCTTGCTTTAAGAAAGTGTACGTACGTAGAGTATACTCTTGCATATCGAATCAAATAGGATAGCCCCTTACACATTTGATTAATTAGGATATACAATAACATGTATTGCTAAATAAGTCACAGAGGTTGACAAAGAGTTAAATTCATATCATTTATCATAGAGTTTTCTTGTGTAGTTACATTTACATTTTCTGTTGGTGAAATATCCAAATATAAAACAGAGGTATCAGCCTCTATTTCATTTCATTATATATAATGTATGAAAAAGACTAATAACGGGACACAATGAGTACCCATTTGAATTCCGTCGGTTCGGTTGAAGACATGATCTCTAAAGATACTGTCATGAATATCTTTTTAATATCGACTTTAAGCTGAACACTTCTCATAAATAGGCATCGTCAGACGGGTATTTAATCCCTTCGATTTCGTTACATTCGATTGCACACTTGAAACTCGTGGCCGACATGACTAGTATTCCTTTCGTGGTTTTAGATTTTTTTGCATTTACTCTTTGTTTGTGTGCATTTCCTCTTTGTAAATGATGTATTGACTTGTATTTTTCATGATACTCTTCACCTGTTTTGGAAAAATTGCGAAAAATTTTATAATTTCACCGCCACCGAGTAGCAGAGCAGTGTGAGATGTACGTCTACAATCGTCGGATCTCTACAGCGAAATACATTTTTAAACTGTTAAGAGATCAGATCCTTATATAGGGTTTGTAGGAGATAGCGTTCATGAACGGCAGACTATACCTTTTTACGAATAGTGTTCAGCTTTAATTTACGAAATCTTTTCACAGTTTAGATTTTGTACCGAATAAATTATTTGGATTCAAACAAGAAATAACTGAAAACTGGATTCTTAACGTGAACGTTAACATCCATATACATGAATTATTATTAAAATGTTCTGTACCATTTAAAAATATTGTTACGTGTTTTAAAAAAAACTCATTGTTTTGATTTTTAGTGAAAGATATTTCTTTCGCTATATTCATTCATTTTTTTAATTGCAGGAAAATATCGTCATAGTTGAAAACAATACATTGGCGTTAACAACCATTTAGTCAAACGGGAATTTCAAACATGAATACGATGAGCATCTTTTTGATTTGTTTTCTCCTTACAACATGCAACGCAACAAACCGATCGGTTTTGTTCAAACATATCTTTAAAAACTATGAAGTGGACGTTGCACCGTATGAAAACGCCTCACAACCACTGGATGTCACCATGTACATTTACTTACAAAAGATTCTTGACGTTAGAGCAAGACAGCAAATATTCGAATCGACATTCTGGTTTTTCATGTCGTGGAAAGATGATCGGTTGGCATGGAATCCTGAAATTTACAAAGGAATAGACAGTATTCATACAACCTCTAGTAAAGTTTGGAATCCCGCATATGTTTGTATGGTAAATGACATTGGTATGGAAAGTTGTTTTCGAGAAGGCTCCACGGTCACAGTTCTGTACACTGGAGAAGTCATATTTTCCAAATCCCTCGACGGTGCCACCCAATGCAACATTAATGCAAAGAAGTATCCATTTGACGTTCAGAAATGCTCTATTGACATAGGAAGCGCATTTCATAAATCCAAATTCATTCATTTTAACCTCACGTCCTCTTACTTTGGACTGGACCTGTACTCAAAGAGCGAAGAATGGAGCGTTGTGAACACCTCAGTATCAACGTATTCTATCAAAGATTTCCATGAGATGATATTCGAAGGGCTCCATTTTGAAATTGTAATTGAAAGACAACCCGGAAGTGTCATTGTATCGTACATACTGCCGGTAATGCTTCTCTCCATTGTCAACTTATGCTCTTTTGTGTTGCCGAGTGAATGTGGAGAAAAAATGGGGACGTCGGTGGCCATTTTTCTTACTTTTGCGGTTTTTCTGACATTCGTCAGCCAATTCATGCCGGTTTCTGAAGACACTCCTCATTTTACTATATATCTCACGTTTCAACTTGTTCTCAGTGGTCTTGTTATTATCATGGAAACCATCGTCCTGAAATACAAGTTCGACTGGAGGGAAAATCTTGTGGGGGAAATTCAAATGAATGAAAACAATGAGTCAGAAAATCCAAAAATATCCAAGGATCTACGGCGACACAAAATAAACATAAAATATCTTGATAGGTATATGATGATTATTTACTTAATTTTGAATTTGATTTCGATTTTAATATTTTTTGTGGGTACTCAGTGAGTAGAAACCTTATTTCAGATAAAGAGAGAAAACATCCAATTGAAGTATTGGGTAGGAATATGTGGAAAATATCATAATTAAAATGAGATTTTTATATTCTTCGGTTACGCAGCATTGTTAAGGATTACTATGAGAAATCAACGGAAAATAGAAGTACAAAAACGGGAATTGTTTTTTAAAATGAACTTATTATTATTCAGCTGTTTTATTAACACAGAACTTAAAGACTTATGAAAATAGCATTTTTGGTCCCATCGATAGACAATCACGTGATGAATGCAAAGTATGTGTACTGAATGTAGGTCATTAACGAATTTCAATATCACAAGGGCTTACCCTATTTGAAATTAAAAATTCAAGCTATTAATTGTTTCTGTATATTTTGTACTTTCTGGACAGTGTTGCTACTTTGAATAGAATTTGCGTTTTAATAGTTAAAATTTCAAAGTAAATAGGCCTATGTCGAAACATGTTTGACTTTTACCAAGTATTTTGTGTACTTGTAAATTCACGCTCTCGATTTAAAGAAAGCAGCAGCAATTTTCGAGTTAAGGAAAATATCCTTTATTTATATTTAAAAAATGGTTAAGATTTATTTAGTGTATGCCCTTGCGGAAGAACGATTTTATGAGGCACCTCGATGTAAAATATACCTAACCTGAACATGAAACACAAAATTATTTAAATACATTATCTCGATTGTTAATGAATAATCGCACCAAACAAAAGATATACATTGGTAGTATTAAAAGCCCATTTAAAACCTATAAATAATATTCTGTTTTATAATAAAACGCAATTTTGTTGTTAAAAAAATCCCCAATCTGCCTCTCACAGCACATGAAATTCGTCATTTTTACCAAAATGACGTCATGATTGACAAGTTCATCGAGATCAGGGATTTCTTTATAACCAACTGTACGGGATTTAACTAGCAACTTTTTAAATGCGTTTATAAGTTTTATTGTTGTTTATTATGCTACATATAATACAATTAAAAGTTACAAATTCTTTTACTGTCTGGTATTATGACGAATACATAAAAGTCGTATTTTTGTGTGACGTCACAGTAAACTTTACCCGTATAAATTAGGCTACGTCTCTTTTTTTCAGCCTTAACAATGCTGCGTAATATTTGTTATATTTACGCGACATTTTACGATATGGATACGAAATAGAAACAAAAAAAAAAAAGAAAAAAGAAAATCCCTAGCAAGAAAGCAAATTATCTCTTCTGTGTGTGAGACAATTAGTTGTAATGGCAGGTTTCTTGAAATGGAAACATAAAAAAGAATCAGTGTGTACTATGCAAATGCATGTATACGTGTACGTGGGTCGTATAATTTTTTGATTGCAATAGCTGCGACGTGCTAATAACCAAAGAAAGACATTTTGTTGTTTATATTTACATCTGTATAAAAAAAAACATATAAAGGACTAGGCAAAATTTATCACAATGATGGGACCGGTACAAACGGGCATGGGACAATGAGTTTTTTCACCCATGGGACACTAACTTTTTTTAATGAGTTGCAGTACTAGTACTTGACATAAAGAAATATTCATTATACAGGTAGCTAAAAAAATTGAAAAAAAGTCATATCATAAACTCAAACGAAGGACACAAATTGCAACATTGGCAACATAAAATCATAAATCTTGGAAAATATGAAAATGAACCAAAATATTTTTATCGATATTGGAAATATCTGAAATCTAAAAGACTCCTGAGTTTTATTCCAATAATCTCACTAACACCAATATGTAACCATGGGGCAGTAACTTTTTTTCTAAATATTAAGGCATGGGGCAAACATTTATTTTCAATACGAATGTCATGAGACACGTATTTTTTTATAATGAAAATTTTGTTTTGTACTGTTCCCATCATTGTGATAAATTTTGCCTGGTCCCTAAAGTTCAATTAAATGCGTTTAATACTGTATGATAGACGTATATGTCATTGTTTGCCTAAATGATGGAAAGCCATTGTTCAAGAAATGTATGCAGCTGGCGGAATTTTATTCATGGACTGATTAACGGCAATGGTCTTCGTAAGAACAATAGGAAATGATATTCAGTGGATTTAAATATATGAATCAGATTGATTCTACATTAAAATCTGCAAATATTTTGCAGTATTTTTTTCTTTTGATGTGAATATGTACACAATAACTGATTTTTTTTTCATTGAAGAACATATTTTAATTGCATCGATCTAGCTAGCTGAAAACAATGCTATATAGAAACATATATTTTAAAAAAAGATGTAATGGGCATGTTTTATTCAATCTAAATTTCTATATCTTTTAAAATTTGAAATTCAGTATTTTGATGGAATTTTTTTTTAAATTTCGTCTTTTGAAAATTTAAAAAACGTATGTTATGCATTCCCATCGTTTCGTTTATTTCATAAATGAAATTCAATAACATTTTTTGCATTAAAATTTCCCTGCCATTGGAAATTTTTCAGTATTTTCATGAATTAATTTTGTTGAAATGAAAGAACAAACATCAAACCCACGTACAAAAATAATTTTCAATGCCGAATGCTTCAATTACTTTATAGAAGTTTTATATTTGGTTGGCGTTTTCGATTATGTTGTATGTTGTTTAATAAAAAAAGGAGAAAAGAAGGTGTTCTATTTTTTTTTTTTTTTTTTGGAAGTTGCTCATAATAAATCTGCGTAATTTCAAACTGAAAAACTCAGAAAACTTAAAACATACCTTGAATTCTTGCAAACATCCCTTGAGTCTCTGCAATAGAAGGTGACTCGGAAGAAAAAAAAATGTATATAGAAACATATGACTTTTCTTGAATGTATTTTGAAAATATATTGCTTTGAATAATAAGTAATAAAAAAAAGTTAGAAAATTATTTGATAGAATATATCAAGTTACCACATTATTTTGTTTATTACAATTACAGTTATGTATATTACCAGATATGGTCATAAAACACACAGCAATACATAGCATTACAGGCTCCCAGAATCATTACAATTAATTTTTAAAAAATCGTCACTGTAGCTCAGTCGTTAGAGCACTTTGTTCATCAGGTCGTGGTTTCGAATCTCGAAAAGAAAACTTTTCTAACATCTAAACAGAATTCACAGTATTAAATGCAGACTGATTGTACATTAATATATATCAAATACTAATTGTTAAGTCATTACTAACACAAAGAATTGTCTACGGATCCATTTCCCTTACAAGAAAACGGCTGATGGGGCCGATTGACAGGGAATGCTTCCACTTTATGGAATGGATCTCACCTCTGATGTTTTAGAGGTCCATGTCTACACTGGCCTGCTCCATATATCTTTTTCAGTAAAGTTTTGAGCTTGTTAGGTGTAAGAAATCACCTTATTATATTATTTCAAAACTTGTAAAACTATTTTTTAAATATAAAGGGTTTGTTATTATTATTTTAAAAAAAATGTTAAGAAACTACGAAATATTCGTAGTTGCTAAAACCATCCTCATTTTGTATGATGGATAATACTGTACACAAAAACATCAAATTAAAGTGCCCTTTCTTAATCACTGTTATTCGTTCATATAACAATGTAAATCAATAATCAACACGTGATTTTTTTTTCAACATTCAAACTGCCTTTGAGGACATTATTATGGAACAATGACTTTTTAATCAAAAGATTTTACATAAGAGTTATTGTTTTTCCAACAGTTAAAAAGCTCAACGTGCAATTAAGGGCATAGGGATGCATTAAGCATATCTATTTTGAAAACATCTTGCCATGGGTTTATTATTTACTAAATACACCCACACATTGCATCTATTTTATTAAAAGTTCTTTAAAATCTGTTTACAAACATTTAATTTTTCTCTAGGGAAATAAACAATTTCTGGATAAATTCGTGCTAAAAAATAAATGGATTTTATTTGTCATCGATGAAGAATATAATTACCATCCAGTAATGTTTCACATTAAAGATTATATTTTATCTTTTAAAAGAATGGAGTGAATTCTTCTGCCATGGAAACAAATTTAGCAATGAATTGATTAAATTTTTTTCTTCGAAAGACAGTAGTGTATCTTGTCAAAATGTATTTCGTATTTTTATTTGATATAACAGCAATCGTTTATAATTAATTGATTTATTTTAATTTTTTTTCTCAAAAATTGGCACTTTGCATAACATTTTTGTAATATGATGAAGTTATTTTTTAACACTTTTTTTTATTTATGTAAACTAATAAATCGGAAAAGTGGATAAATCTTTTAGTTTGCAAGATAAACATTACAGGAGGCACTTCACCACGACGTCACCACGTGACGTCTATAATTAGAAAATATGCCTTAATGAAAAAGTGAAAAGTTTAACTAATAATTAGAATTTATATTAATAGTTATGTAAAAACATCTTTACCATGAAAAGTGCTGCTAAATCCTACTGTCCTCTTAAAAAAATAATTATTCAACAATTTCGGAAAAACTTTTACATTTTGTTTTAAAAAAAATGTAAATTCCCGTAAACCATACGATTCTAGCAGCACTTTCCAAAAACAAAAGAATAAGAACTTTAGAAGAAACAAAAATTAAGTTTCAAGGTATTTGTTGAACTTTGGCATCTTTTTTAAACGACAGAGGAAAGGCTGATTTTTTAATTTTAATAGGTTAATTTTCATGTCCATTTTCATTTTTAATCGTTATTTGATAAACATCGATCATATTTTATAATTTTTCTTGAATTTCAAAACTTCAAATTTGGATATTCATTAAACTTAATTAAGTTCTACAGGAGGGAAAGAATAGTACAAATTATTTTAATTTTTTTAAAGCGACTAATTTTCATACATATGATGAACTGATTCACATCATTGTTAAGATATTGCTGGATGTAGTGCTCATGGACGAACGTCAGTTGATGAAAAAGAATATCAGCAGTCTCGTTTAAAGAACTAAGTACGTTACCTATTATACAGAGGCCTAGTATTTTCCTTAATTTGATATACAGGTATGCCAAAATATAAAAAAAACTCCCTGTATTAAAAGAACTCCCTATGAGAAATGGTTTCAGATAATAACAAAAATTAAAATGTTTAGAAAGCGGTTACCCTAGAAATGTTTCAAAAAAATTTCATCGAATTTTGGGACAGGCTGGATTTTGGCTCATACCGTACTTTCTTCTTTAAAAATCAGAAAATACAATTTATCATTAAGTCAAATTCTGACTGATCTTCTTATACTAATTGATTATTAGTATATTATTTACAACGTGGATTTTCGACGTATATAGCGTCATCAAAACAAAAATTCCCGTCATAATTACATGTTATGATGCAGAAAGTTATGAAATTCAATGAAATGGAAAATGAACTCAGATAAAACGTTTAAAGGTTTCTGAAAAATACTTTTTATTGCGAAGGCCAATTATATCATTAAAACTAATTTTAATTTTAAGCAGAGTTATATTGTTCTGATGAGTAAAGTTTCACATTAAGTTGGCACACATTTTTTAGTCCAAACTCAGGAGACTGAAATAAAGTTTACTCTACTCAGATTTGAGTTGAGTAAAATAAAACGTTCGTGCCCCGACTTTTTTTTCGTTATTTCCCGATTATAACAAAGAGTACACAACAGATGTGACTCTTCATCAGGAGATGCTCACTCCTCCATGGCACCTGATTCCACCTTAGGCTTTTTAGGTCCGTGTTTGCTCTGCTCCAAAATTTGTATTGTTTGATGGACTTTTCACTTTTGAAATATCTCTATATATTTCATCAGATAAATTTTGTGTTTTATTCAAACATATCTAACTCAAAATAAAGAGTTGATAACCCACATTATATATATCAGTAAATTAAATGATGAATAAGTAATAAAGTCTTAGTAGATTTAATGAACGATAATAAAACCATATAAGTCGATTAAATTAGAATATGTAAATACTAGTAGCCTCATTAGTTCAATTTCTGTAAGTGACCAAGTAATAATGACTTCATATCAGATGATTATGGTGAAGAGAATTCTCATGACGTGAATGACCATACAGGAAAAGGAAAGATAAAATGCTTTGAAGTAATCTATTACCTGGCCGTCCTTTTATGTTTTAATTTAAAATATGTGTTTGTTTGTATTTATTATGTCATTAAAGTCCGAACCATAATAATTTTTTTGGTTTTTACATCTGTCAAAACCTGCAAAATTGAATAGATTGTAAATTCTTCACATTTGTTAACAATATACATGTATGTAGTTGGCGTCTCTTGGAAGGAATGCCAGGTAATAAGGGATGGTTACTCCTCTTTGTCACCTGATCCCGCCAATGACAGGGGGTCGGTGTTTTTGTTCTGTTCACGATTCTTTTCCTGTAAGGTATGTATAAGAATAACTATTGTTCGTTATCTCTTATTTTAACATTTTTAATGACAATGAAAGAAACAACGAAAACATGTACTTTATGCAACTACCAATGTAATTGGCACGTACCTTGCAATGAGAGTGAACTCTCATCGAACTTTGCCCATAATCAATTAAAAACTTGATAGATTACTAGCAATCGTCATTGCTAAATGAAATTATTAATTCATTCAATTAAAAGCATCCATTTAGATCAAAAGTTTGTTTACCTCTTTGAAATTGTTGAAATTTCGCAACTGACGACATGAAATCATTTTCTTCTTCTTGTTAATAGGTATCTAGACCATTATGTATAAATAGTGAGTCAGCATTGTTCTAATTATCCGAACAAAAGATTGTAGAGTATTTCTGAATCCATTAAGGCATAATACCATAACGTGGGATGCAGTTCTTGGAGGAACCTTGATAGAACAATATCATTGTAATCTTCCTCGAATATGTTAACAATACAGCTATTACAATAAATGGAATGAATGTTTTATTGGGAGATTAGCGGTAAGTCCCTGTGCAGTTTGAAAATTAAAAGAACTTTATTTCGCTTAATTAAAATCTTCGGATCCTGCTTTATTTGGTTTATAGCAGTAATTAATTATATCGATATACACAAGAAAACTATTCAGGAAAGGTCCGATTAAAAATGCTTAAGTAAACGTCATAGATAGATGGGTTTGACTAGATATTTTAAGTTCACACCTTCATTAGAAGCAATTCTAGTATTTTCAAGACTTTTTCAGAAAACATGCATATGGATATGAAAAGGAAAAAACCTAATATTACTTTGAGTGGGATAATCTGTGAAAACATTAATTGCAAAGGATATGCTCTTTGATTTTATTCAAATTTTATTTACCGTTTGTTGTTGTTTATAAGGTTGAATTATATATTTGCCTGGCAACAATTTCATAGAAGGCTTCAACGAAGAAAACCTACATCGAGAACCGCTACAGAAAATTTAAAACTGATCAAAGGTATGTTGAAAAGGTATATATTTTTGATGTATAAATATCTTTGCATACTTGTTTTTTAATTGGTTGCAAAATCTGTATTCAATAGCCAAAAAAAAAAAAATGAAGTGATTATAATGATACCGATCTCTCTTTGTTTAACGTTCCTCTCGAGAATTTTTAACTCATGTGGAGACGCCACCACTTGCCATGGGAGAGATACAAATTAGTCCTATGCTCGGCACTCAAGGCCACTGAGCAGTGCGGGATCTTGTTCGTGCCAGCACCCACTGCGACACGGGACCTCGGTCTATACGGTTTCATCCGAAAGACCGGTCTTCACGTCCCTCAGTGGAAATTGAACCCGCGACAGAAGTATCAAGTCCTCACTTCGCGACTCTAGAGCAGACGCTCTTACCACTGTGCCACTCGAGCGACCAGATAGTGAATATAGTGATAGGGGTTTCTGTCTGTACTTCCCTCCGTTACTTTTATATACCACTGAATAAAATTTAATTTAATGAAACTTTATTACATAATCTTATGATTATATTGTGTATTTTCTATTTTTATTTCTTGATCGGACACATATTTCCGGTTACCCATAGCAAAACATGGACATGGTAATTTTCTCTATAAAAGTGAGGGATACCCAACTCTTATCCGCTTCTCCCTAATACAACTGAATAAAATCTAATGATAATTTTACGTGTGCTTTATTACATAGAACCATTATGCATCTCCTATTTTATATATGATCTGACACTTATTTCGGGTCCCCAACAGCAAAACATGGACTTTGCCATTATAATCATACTGAAATCTTTTGTGAGCTCAGTTTTCACAATACCTCTATTTTTTTAATTGAAAAAGGGTGACTTTACCCAAGATTTAAAATGAAAAACTAGAAAAGGGTGTAGGGCCCATGTCCCAAGTACCTGTATTTTCTTTAAGTACGCAAGATTTGAAACAAATTCTTTGAAACAAAATCATTAAAATTTGCATGATTAATTCTAATGGGGTGTATATTTTTGTTTGATTATGAAATTGATTACTGTCCCTTTTCTTAATTTATTACATTTAAAAACATTGGCTTTGGACAATGGTTCACATAATGCTGAATTATATAATTTAATGTTCTTGATGTTCCAGATTTGGTGTAAAACAAATTACTAAACAACACCATTTTTACTCTGTTTCAACTGACACATTACCATAGTAGTCGAACTGTGGTAAGTATAGAATATATTCATTTTCGACGAGGCTAGAACTTATTTGGATATACACCTTAATATTTCATCCCTATTTTTTAAATAGGATTTAGCAACCATATTTACCTAAGTATATTATAGTCCAAGTTATTCAAACCAGAGACACTTAGAAAAAATATTATATATTCTTTTCTATTCTATCTGAAATGTACGGATGAAATTTCGATCGCTGGCAAAAAATCTTTGTGAAAAGTGTTTTCTTTATCCTAAATGTATATGTCCCCCAGATAATAGCATTGTCTTTCACTAGTTATAACTATTTTCAATTGCCAAGGAGTACATAACTAATTATAATTATTCGTGTACTCATTGGCAATAGTAAATTAGTGAAAACAGCATAATTCTGACACCTGGAAATTCCAAAGGTGGGATCTGGTGCCTAGAAGAAGTAAGCATCCCCTGTTGATTGGCCACACCCATAGTATACCTTACGTTTTGATCAGATAGAAAGAACAGTCAGGAATCAATTTCAAAGTTAACAATGGTCTTACAAATGATATGGAACAAGTCAAACAAAACACGACAAATGATAGTTTATATAATAATATGTTAACAAGGTCATTTTAACAGCTATTGAATTCACTAAATGTCATCTGTTTTCCTATTGGAATATGTTTTTTAAATGAGACGGTGATTCACCTATATAAAGTCAAGCTCTTTACTGTTCTATTGTAGATCGGCACGTTTTTAAGATGATAAGAAGGAGCCTCTTTACTACATTCCTCTTCTTGGCAATTTGCGAAGCTGCCAATAGGTCTGCTTTATTCAAAAACCTTTTCAAACAATATGATCCAGATGTAGGTCCGTATGAAAACTCTTCCCAGCCACTAGATGTCGCCATGTCTCTTTACTTACAAAAGATACTTGAAGTTAAAGCAAGACTGCAGACATTTTCCTCGACGTTTTGGTTTTTCATGTCGTGGAAAGATGATCGCTTGGAATGGGATCCTGCACTTTACAATGGAATCAACAGCATTCAGACAAACTCTGCAAAAGTATGGAATCCAGCCTTTGTTTGTATCGTTAATGACATTGGTATGGAAAGCTGTTTTCGAGAAGGTTCTACGGTAACTGTCTTAAACACAGGCGAAGTTATATTTTCCAAATCTCTCGATGGGGCCACCCAGTGTAACATTAATGCAAAGAAATTTCCATTTGACGTACAGAAATGCTCTATCGACATAGGAAGCGCATTTCGCAGATCAAATGTAATATTCTTCAATTTGACATCTTCATATTTTGGACTAGACTTGTACACCGGGAGCGAGGAATGGAATGTTCTGGACGCAACTGTATCAAAGTATTTTATTCAAGAAAATCGAGATATGATTTTTGAAGGGCTCCAGTTTGAGATACATCTTGAAAGACGACCATTGAATGTTATTGTTTCCTATATTTTGCCTGTGTTGCTGTTGTCCACCGTAAATCTATGCTCTTTTGTACTACCGATCGAATGTGGTGAAAAGATGGGGACTTCGGTGGCTGTTTTTCTTACGTTTGCAGTTTTCTTGACACTCCTCAGCGAATCCATGCCAGTGTCGGAGGACACCCCAATTTTTGCTATCTATCTCACATTCCAGCTAGCTCTCAGTGGGTTTGTCATCATCATGGAAACTATTGTATTGAGATATCATATCGAAAGGTTGACGCACGTCGAGGCCAATGTATTAGTGGACGGAACAATGGAAATCGATAAATCAAAGAAAAAGACGGATAAAAAGATTAGAATCAAACGTCTCGATAACTTTATAATGTTAGTCTACGTCATCTTGAATTTTATTTCTTTCATAACCTTTCTTGTGGGTACGCAAAAATAGGTTTTTTTTAAATTTCATTAATTTTTTTTTTACTTTTTTATCACCTTTTTAAGAGAGAGAGAGAAAAATATTTTTGTTTAGATATATGACAGACCATTCTTTATTCAGATATGATATTGGATAAGACCTTTTTTGAAATACTAGTATGTTGCAATGTCTTAAGCTGACATCCTTTATAGTATAATGACTAAATTTATTATTTTTGTTAACTAGTCAAATATTTTGTTTCTGTAAGTCGGGAACCTGAGTTTCAGATTACAGAAATATTTCCTTATTTAGTTTCTTATGAGGAAAGAAATGATATTTTGAAACATGTTGAAATAATCCTGTCTAATCCAACATGCATTGGGAAAAAATTGTTTCGCGCTATACAGGGTGTGGGATTATACAGTACAATGAACATAAAGTTGAAGAAAAAGGGAATTATCATAAAGATCATAATATACAGGAAATTAAAATGCACAGGTGCCAGTTTAGACAGTTTATGATTATGTATAGTTTTTCTTGAGATAGAAGGGTTTCCAAACTTAAGGTTCATTGTCTCCCTGCAAAGAGAAAAAAACCTTTAAATTGAGTTAATGACCATATGAAAAGTTCATTTAGGAAAAAAAATGTCATTTCTGTCAAATTTGCGCTGTAAGCTATCTCAAATTCCGTTTATCAATCAAGAATAAGGTTTTATTGTAAATCATTAGAATTACAGCTAAGATCTAAAAGAACAGAGTGACAATGAACTTTTTATATTTAAATTTTCCGTGACTAATTAGTCATGTACATGTAAATTATATACGCATTATGTTGTCATTTGTGTGGAAATATATGCAAAGCATTGTAACTGTTTCTAATGACATGTCAAATGTTGCAATATTCGATCTTTTCCATATGCATTTTATAATCTTTATTTGTATTCTATAATTTTCCATTTGCATCGCAAAAATTTTCCATTTGTTTTGCATATTTGTTTTTAATCTACGTATATTCTATTCTTTTTCATAGTATATGTAGAACATTTTGTATTGTATATTTTTTTTATTTGAATATTCGTATAAATTTTCTTTGTATTGTTTAAATTTTTCATTCGTATTATATAATTTTTCATTTGAATTGTTTATTTTTCTTTTATCTTTAAAGTAAAAATATTATTTGCATTCTATATTTTCCATTTGCATTTTATAATTTCTTATTTGTATTGCATATTTTCTTATTTGTATCGTAAATTTTGCATTCGATAAATTGTCATTTTTTTTTGTATCCGAGGATTGTTTGATCAAATATTGCAACGTTTAAAATGCCAAATATTTCATTACTTACCTATTTATAAGAAAAATCCTTGCATAATATTTTTCACGGAATTTACAATTGGAGGAGCATAAACAATGACTTGAAGATTTTAAAAGGTTAAACTGTGATAAGTAATTACATAATTTTAATCTGCATACAGGGTTAAAACATATTAACCCAAAATAATAATTTTCGCAAAATTTCGCTGCTTTTTTCGACGCGAAAATAAAATTCTCTTGAGTATTTTTGAGTTTCAACTTTAAGAACCCATGTTGCAAAAGTCAAGCATTACTCAAAATACATCAATACTGGACCAATGCCAATTATCATCTATGTATATGTCTGTGTTGACACAAGTTCAGATAAATTCAGATCATGTTCAATGTATTAATATACACCTTCTCTTAAGTTGTATACCGGTATTTATTACATTTTTAAAATATTCATATTGTACTAGAATTTTGATTCAGAAATACTTTTTTTTAAATTCATAAAAAGTTCTGTAAAATTAGAATATATTAAAAAAAGTATATCCTGTCACAGTGTGAAAGGATATCAATGTGTTGTATATTATATCCTATCACAGTGTGACGAATATCAAAAGTGCGGGAAAATTCTCGATTTCCTTTCTCATAACGAAGATTGCTGTAAAAATATCTTCCTTGACCTAATATAAGATAGAAGGAAATAAATAAACCATTCTGACAGCGAATAAAACTGTCAAAATTACCAAAAATATGTTGTCAAATTCATATTTACAGTGTTTTCACCTCACTTAGCTATGACGTCTCAACCGCTCAACTATGACGTCACGAGTCCATGAATGTATTACAAAAAAGACAGTTCATAGGCAAAGGAAAAAATTCAAAGATTTTTTTTTTAAATGTAATAAACAGAAAATTCAATGTTTTGTAGTTGAATATGGAATTTATATTCTTTAAAAATCTTCTTCTCAAGAACAACTGGGCCAGGAAAGATTTTGATATTTTCACTCGTGCTTCGCACTCGTGAAAATATAAAAAAAATCCTTCTTTTTCTCAAGAACCACTCGTGAAATAAATTCCATATTCAACTACAAAACATTGAATATCCTCTATTTCTTCACCTATGCTATGTTGTATATCATATACCGATGCTTGTAAAATAGCTGTGGTCTGTAAAAGTTACTGTTTCAGTACCTGTCCTGTGTATAATATTGTCGTGTGTCTTTCAATTTCTTGCATATAAAAAAAGAACTATATCTATGATTTGTTACTGTATCAGTAACTATATTTATAATAAAACCCTGGCTTCTGTAATATATCGATGTTTTTAAATTCATTGCATTCAGAGAGAAATTACATGTGATTTGTTACTGTATCAGTAACAATAATAATGTATACAGGGTTATTTTCGTCCTGTGTTACATGTATTTTTCACACTTTCACACTTGCAACATATTTTGCCCCTTTTTAAATTCGTTCAGATACACATTTGTTTTAAAAAAATATTGTTTTCATTTAATTCTCCTCGTTTTAATTGGCCCTTTTCCGGTGATGACAAAAGGGGCGAATCTAAAACTATGGCAGATGTACATATGCCCTGTATACAGAAATCTATTCTTGGCTTATAGAATGTCTTAATTTGTTTGTCTCGATGCAATGCAAAACTTTTAATTAGCTATTAAAATGTCTGGTATTTTCATCTTAAAATGTTTCAAAATTCAGTGACCAGAACAAAATTGAATTCACACGCTCTTACCCCTAAAAATCAAATTTTTAAAGCCTTTTTACAATTGCAGAGTAAGGTATTTAAATTATGGCTTGAATCTGTCAGGTTGTCTTTCCTTTGTTTTATTCAAATATTAAACATTTCAGCTCTTTATAATCAAGTTGCTTACATGTAACTCTTAATAATCTTTTTAAACCAAAATAAAAAGACTGGGTTTCTTTGAAATTCATATTGCTCAGTAAAACATTACAATTTAGACTTTGCTTTTTGAAAACATAACATTTTAGGGTGGCATACATCAGCTAAGTCATTCAATATTAATAAAACTATTTTCCTGATACATGTATCACAATGACTTTAATTTTTGTTATTATCCCCCCACCCTCTTAGAAGAGAAAGCATATTGCTCTGTTGCTGTCTGTCAGTTTGTCTGCCTGTCAGTCTGTCAGTAAACCAAGTTTCCGTTCATTTTCTTCGCAGTGGTTCCACATACTGAAATGAAATTTGTCATATATTTATCATAAGAATATCTAGGTCAACTTCTGTTTTGGGTATGATCGATCCATTTTGGACATAGTTATGCCCCTTGGACTCTAATTAAAAATTCCAGTTATTTGCGGGAGGGGGGAGATAAGTGTTTTACAAACATCTCTTGCTTGTATAAATGCTTATAGGAATGTCCATGTATATGGCAATTAAAAGTGATAACGTATTACAAGTTGCTGAACTCTAAGAAAAATTTTTAACCAAAAACAGACAGATTTTCTTTGAAATTCATATTGTTCAGCTGTGATATCATAACCATATATACAGATTTTGATTTCTGGAAACATAACATTTAAGTGTGGCATACATCAGTTTTGTCATTCCATATTAATAAAACTATTTTTCCTGATATCACATTGACTTTGTTTCTTGTTATTTGTATTATGCTACAGTATATGCTTATAGAATTGTTCTTGTATACGGCAACTAAAAGGTGATAACATTAAAGAAAAAAAATTCCATAATTTATTAAAAGTTTCCAAAAAAAATGTAGAATAAAACGTTTGATTCTATGATAGAAAGCATCCATGAATACATTTCTTTTGCATGGGTGTTTCTGGGGAAGTTCGACCAATATCAATAAATTGATACCATTATTAATCATAAGCTAAAGGAATGTACAAATTCTCAGGAAAATCAATTTTTACAACTGCAGATGCAAATACAAAATCATTCAATAGCCTTTTATGATCTTCTTTGAACTGTCATGACATTTGATAATGATTAACATCAAATTTTCTCCTCTTGACTCCCATTCTATCTTAAAGTATGTTATGAGAAACGTGTTTCTTGAAATTTATGAGTAAAAACTTGTGCACTTATCAAGTCACTGATTTTGCCTCGAAATAATAAGTAGATCCATTACCAGTGGACTCTTCTCCTAATTCATTTCCAATATAACAATAAGGTTCAATACAATAATTTTTATTATTTTAATTTATGGTTTTAATCTGACATGTTGCCTTTCTTTTTGTTTAATTCAAATATTTAACATTTTACCTCTTTGTGATCAAGTTATTATCAGAAAGTTTTGGAACTTGACTAACTCTAAGAAACTTTTTAAAACAAAATAAAACAGACAGTTTCTTTGAAATTGATATTGCTCGGTGAAATCATAACCATATATTTAGACTTTGTTTTCTGGAAACATAACATTTTAGAGTGGCATACATCAGTTCAGTCATTCAATACTAATAAAACTATTTTTCCTGATATCAGAATGACTTTGTTTCTTGTTATTTGTAAAATGTATGCATGCTTATAGAAATGTCATTGTATACTGCAGCTAAAAGGTGATAACATTATAGAGAAAAAAAATCCATAATTTATTAAAGGTTTCTAAAAAATAATTATATGATAAAATGTTTGATTGCCAAGAGAGAAAGCTTCCGTGAATACATTTCTTTTGCATGGGTGTTTCTTGTGAAACTCGACCAAAATCTATAAATTGATAGCATAATTAA